GTGAAAACTGGGTGACAGTTTTGATGAAGTAGTAGAAAGAGCTCTTGGAGTTGTTGCTGATAATAAGAGAGTTCCAACTGCCAAAACCTTTCATAGGATTCTGGGGTGTGGGTGGGGAGAATGTAGGAGGTAGAGGGAGATTATACAAGGATGTTGTCAAGTGTTTGGTGCAGAAAGTCTGACTGTTTCTGGGAATTGGAATGGTACAGTACTTGGTAAAGAGACTTGAATGGGGGCACGATAATAGAAAGGAAACGTTGGAGTTGTTTTGTTTTTGTTTCCTTAAGGAAATAGAAATGAAGAGCTCTTATCTGAAGCAGTATCCACAATGCATTAACAAATTAATATGGAAACTTAGGCCTGGTTAACTGTCAGATGTTAGGATACATAACTGATAAATGGGAAAATAAATAGACAACAGGAGCCAGTCCAGCCTTCCAGTGGTGGGACAATATTTGCAGATAAGGTAGAGTCAGTACAGAGCATCAATGAGTTGTTGTAGTTTGGAGAATGATATGTAGCTATTTTGAGGGTGGAGTACCAAAGGATGATCAAACAAAGTATTTCATTCTTGTGGGAATGAAGATTCCGATATTTTGTGGTATCAGTTGCAGGGTAGAAAGAAGGAAAAGTTGAGGTAATGCAGAAGAGCCAAAAGCTTGTACTTTGGATCAAGCCAGGAATAGACTGAAACCAAAGTAACAGTTCAACTAGTAGCCAGTGACCAGCACAGCTATAGATAGAAGTCACAGTAGCAGTAGAGATGCAGACTGATTTCATTAACTGCTAATGTCAGCCCTTTTGTGCTAAATCTGCATAAACTCGGTGGGGACTTGTCTTGCTTTAATTTGGTCAATCAGTAGCTGCCTTATCTGAAATTTTAAAGAAACCTCAGGTATTCTTAAGCTTTATAAGTAACGATATAGAGCTGAAAATAAAAGATGGAATGTTTTGATGTAAAAGGCTGCAAGTTAGTGATATTTTGATCACTTATCTCATTGTAGCATATCCCATTTTCTGCATCAGTCTTCCGTTCACTGACCTACTTTGGTTTCTGATTAACAAATAATTCTAAACATTATAGTCACGATTTTTAAATCTCTCCATGGTCTCACCCTTCCCTGTATCTGCAATCTTTTGGTTTCTTTTAACCCTCCAGAATTATTCCTATGATTTTGGCCTATATGTGGTTAGCATTGCTGCCTCAGCGCCAGAGACCCGGGTTCGATTCCAGCCTCGGGTGACTGTCTGTGAGGAGTTTGCACATTCTCCCTGTGTCTGCGTGGGTTTCCTCCAGGTGCTCCGGTTTCCTCCCACTGTCTAAAGATGTGCAGGTTAGGTGGTTTGGCCATGCTAAAATGCCCACAGTGTTCAGGGAGGTGTAGATTAGGTGGGTTATAGGGGGATGGGTCTGGGTGGGGTGCTCTGAGGTTTGGTGTGGACTTGTTGGGCCGAAGGGCCTGTTTCCACACTGTAGGGATTCTGTGATTCTGTGTGCATCTTTGATTTTTAATTATTTCATTGTTGATGGCCATGCTTTCAGATGGTAAGGCCCTACATTGGGTTGATGCTGACTAGGCCGGCATTCATTGCTGATTCCAATTTACCTTCAAGAAGATGCATTGAGCTGCTGCCTTGAACTTCTGCAATCCATTTGGTGCAGGTAGCCCTACAAAACCATTAGGGAGAGTTCCAGAATTTTTACCCAGTCACACTGAAGCTACAACAACGTATTTCCAAGTCAGGGTAGTGAGTGGGTTGAGGGGGAATTGCCAGTTGTGGTGTTCCTATATATTTGCTGCCCTTGTCCTTGTGGATAGTAGTGGATGTGGCTTTGGAAGATGCTTCAAAAGAGTCTTGATGAAATCCTGTAGTGCATCTTGTAGGTATAACATACTGCTACTAACATAAGCTACTGAACTTTGGTGATGAAGGGAGTGCATATTTATGAATGAAGTGCCAATCAAGTGGTTGCTTTGTTCTGAATGGTAACACGCTTCTTAGGTCTTGTGTCCTCCTTGCATTCCTCCAGCACAGCAAGGGATCCTCTAGTAAGGTGTTGATGGCTAAGCACTCTATTCCACCCAATTTCGTGTGAAAAGGTACAGCAGTCACGCCATAGGTAAATATCTAGAGAATTTCTATAATAAACATTGTGTGTTGGGTCAAACATAGCACGCAGAGGAAATTCAAGAACGACAGAAGAGCTTTCTAAGCTTGCCATCTAGCAGTATACCTAATGGTTGGGAGCATTTTATAATTCTGTAAGGAGGGCTAAGGAACTTGTAAATAAAAGGAAAATAGAATATGAATGTTAAATAGAATGTAGCATAAAATGCACTGACAGTGGCAGCTTATATAAATATACATAAAGGAAAAGATATCATAGACAAATGTGGGTCAATTGCAGGCATAGTCAGGAAAATTTAGTGGGAGGGAAAAAGAAATGGCAGACGAGTGAAGACAAAGTAATCATTTGAGAAAAGAACTACGAGCAGGAGAAGGTAAATCAACTCTTTGAGCCTGCTTTGCCATTTAATGTAATCATTGTTGATCTCTCAATTCCATGTTTCTGCCCACTCTCCATAACCCTTCAACCCATTACTAAGTAAAAATCTGTCTGTTTCCTCTTTAAAATTTACTCAATTCCCCAGTATCCACCACAGTGTACGGTAGTGAATTTCATAGATTTGTGCCCTTTGACAGAAGTAATTTCTTCTCGTCTGTTTTAAATTTGCACTGCTTAGATGAAAACTGACTTTGGCAACTTATTCACACAGTGGGGTTCATATATGGAATGAACTACCAAAGGAATTGTTAGATTTTGTTACAGTTGCAATATTTAAAGGCCATTTTGACAGGTACATAAATAGGAAAGGTTTAAAGGAATATGTACCAAACATGGGCAAATGGGACTCGTTTAGTTGGCATGGACGAGTTGGACTGAAGGGTTGTTTTCTGTGCTGTATGACTCTGACTGTGTTGTTGGATCCAAAGTCATGCAGGCAAGAGGAAAGTATTCCATCACGTTCCTGATTTGTCCCTTGTAAATGGTGGACAGACTTTGGGCAGCCTGGAGATGAATTACTCACTGCAGACTAACCTATAGTCTTTTCTGTAACTATAAAATTTTTATGGCTAGTCCAGTTCCATGTTCTGGTCAATGGTAACCCCCAGGATGTTGATAATAGAGGATTCAGTGGTTATGCCACCTTTCTATTGTCCAATCATTTGCTCTGAATATTGCCTTGCGATATCAAATATTGTTTGATAATACTCTTCTAGATCACCTTGTGTTGTACAATGCACAGTAAAACTACGATAAGTCAAAGTGCAGGGGCCTGCTCTGATTTCTGTTAAGCCAAGCTTCGAGAAGACTGAGGAATGCCCTGTGTAACTCAATTTTTGTACAAGTGTGCTCAGTGTCAGCTCAGAAAAAGCAAGTGCAAACAGGAACGTGGTAAGACATATGAGAAAAATGTCTTCATTTTTCCACTTGTTTGCGCATTATAATGGCCTGACCTTGCCAGGTAAAACAAAATGGAAGTATGTTGGGAGTTCGCTCTGGAGTTTCTGGTTAGCTTGTGGTCTTTGGATGAGTGTGATACATTCCGCAATGTTGTCAGTGCAGTCAAATGTGTTTTGTGTGTTTGGCCTATAGTACAAAGTGCTGATGCACCCCTATCCACTGTTTCCTCTAAGTTATTTTCTGCTGCAGGGACCTGAGGTCCTTGTGGGGTATTGATGCCTGGAACTGGCAGTCGATGCCATAATTGGCATGTGCATGCCCTTTCAGGTGACTGCATAGTTTAGAAGGAATGCTGCCACTAACTCCCACAGCCTCATTGCTTATGATGCCGTGGCAACGCTATGTCTTGCTGTGAATCAGCCCAGGCATCCATTACTGTAGGTGAGCTCCTTGTACCCGAGGGTGACTCTCCTTTCCTGCTGGAGATGGGGCATTTTTCTACTTGAGCGACTTTGAACCATGTTAGTGGAGCTTTTTTAAACTTCTGAAAGGGTAACAGTTCTCGACCTCAGGCTTGCTAGACAGAATGCCTATTAGTTCCAAGATGATAGCCTTGTGCTTCAGAATGATTGACGAAATTCAACAGTGGAATCTCCCACTTCTTAGGGACATCCGTTTTTTCCTTTGCACCATGGTTTTCCACTTGCTGTATCGGTTTCCTATTGTCTTCAATCGACAGCACTTTTTAACTTTCTCATCTTTTTGGGTTTGAACATTCTTTCATAGACACCTTTTATGTTGAATAATGTCTTATCAGTTATTTTATGCTCTGACGTGGCCTGCCTCAGGTTCTATTCGCTGGCATAGTTATATGGCAAGTGTGCATAAATTTGACTAATTTGGAGTTGAGTTTCTAACTTATACATATCATGGACATCTATTGGATTTCCTATTTTGCCATAGGGAATGGCTGACAGCTTTGCCATAATTGATGTTTCAGGTTATCCGAATTTGACTTATTGTAATTTCATTGTAAGTACGAAGTGGTTGATTTTTTTTTTGTGTTGAAGAATGTTAACACCATGGGAAGTATTCTAGAGATGTTTGCTCCAATTATGTTTTTAATGTGACTTATTTTGAGAAAAGAGATCTGAGAACTTGAGGCTGTTTTTATAAAAACAACAAAAAAACCTGGTGATCAGGAGGTATTCAAAATTTTGAAATCAAGATCATTTTGATTTCAGGTTGGCAATATTAACACAGTTTGCATTCCTAACTAAAGCACGTAGAATGAATAACAAATGAATAGACATCAGACTGTCAATGCAAAGCATGAGGTGTAGTAGGGAAGGTAGAATATGGAAGAGAATAATGGTAGAGGATAATATTTTTAAAAATGGGTGCAAGACTGAATGCATAACTATTCCAGGGGCAGCATGGTTATTATGAGCTCACAGCCTCTTATGTTAAAATTTTTAAATGATATTCTTTCTTTTATGTCAGTATCATTTTTTTAAAAAATTATTTTCAGACGCTTTATTTCCAATGATACACTGTTTCGTAAGTTGGTGAAAGCTACCCAGGGTCTCCCTCAAGTACGATGGTCATTAGGTGGAAATGCACCAGTCATGGCGAATCGCCTTGCCAAGGAAGGATGTGAAGTACTCATTGGGAGTCGTCTTACGCCTGACCTTATTGATGTCCTTCAGGAGCACGTGACTGGTTTGTAGCAATAAAGTAATGCTTGGCTTAAACACGTGCGTAATCTTGAAAACACCAGTTCATGTGAACAGCTTAGTTTAGCGCATTTAATTAATTGAACACCCCAAAGTAGCTCTGACACGTGTAAAGAAATATGTCATCACCACTAATGTGAATTGTGCAAGAAAGCCTGCTTCGATTTTGAGAACAAGTCCATGAGGTTTGTGGAGGGAATTGTCAAAAAAGGCCAAGCTGCTAAAATTTTCTTTCACTGTGGTGTGGTCGAGCAGTAATCGGAGGAACAAAAGTTGAGAGGATTGGAAGGTTGAAGGAATTCTCTGAAATAAGATTGCTGCTTGGTTTTGGAGAGGCTTGAAGATGGGAATGACAATTTTTAATAGAACGGGCAGGAATCCAGTGAAGGTCATGGTGTTATACAGCACGAAACAGACCCTTTGGTCCAACCAGTCCATGCTTACTATAATCTCAAGCTGTACTAGCCCTGCCTGCCTCCATTTGCCCATATCCCTCCAAACATTTCTTATTCATGTATTTGTCTAAATGTCTTTTAAATGTTGTAACTGTACCCGCATCCACCAGTTCATATGAAAGTTCATTTCACACAAGAGCCTCTGTTTTTAACAAAAAGTTGCCCTTCATGTCTTTTTGTAAATCTTTTTCCTCTTTATTTTAAAAATACATCCCCCAAGTCCTGAAATGCCCCACCCTAGGGAAAAGACACCAGCCATTCACCTTGTCTATATGTCCTCATTATTTTATAAACCTCTATAAGGTTACCTCTCAACCTCCCTAAACTCCTACAAAAAATGTCACAGCCTGTCCTTTGTAACTCAAACCCTTCATTCCCAGAAACATCCTTGTAAATCTCTTCAGAACCCTCTCTAGCTTAATAATACCCTTGCTACAATGGAGACCAGAACTGGACACACTACTCCAGAAGAGGCCTCACCAACATCCTCTCGATCCTCAACATAATGTCCCGACTCCAATATTCAAAAGTCTGAGCAATGTAGGCAAGCATGCTAAATACCACCTTTTACCACCCTATCTATGTATGATGCAAACCTCAAAGAATTATGTACCTGAACCCCTAGGTCTCTGTTCTACAACACTGCCCAAGGCCCTACTTTTAATTGTATAAGTCTTGTCTTTGTTTGTTTTCCCAAAATGCAATACCTCCCATTTAATCCAGATTAAGTTCCACCTGCCACCCTTCAGCCCATTGACCCAATTGATCAAGATCTCATTGTCATCTTGGATAACTTCCTTGACTGTTCACTATACCGCCAATCTTTGGTGTCATGCACAAACTTGCTAACCGTGCTTTCTATATTCACATGTAAATTATTTATATAGATGACAAACACAAGTGGAACACCGCTGGTCACAGGCCTCGATTCTGAAAAACATCAAAGGAAGGAATGATGTGAGCACAGTTAGTATATGGCAAGACACTTCGCTGCAGAGTTTTGGACAAAGTGGAGTTTTTGGAGAGCAGAGGGTGGAGGATCAAAAAGAGAATCTTGGAGCAGTTGAATTTGCAAGTAACAATCTGTTAGAATCTCAAGGCCAAGGGCTTTGTCCTGTTGATTACAATGCAGATTCACAATGCAATAAACTTGCAATAGTTGGATTTTTTTTCTTCATACTGGGTAACAAATAAACAATAACATTGTTCTTTATCAATGAAAGATGGATGGATGAAATTGAGACACAGACTTTAAAAGAATAGGACTAGTTCAGAATTTAAGAACATACTATGTGATTGATAATTATAAAAGTCACTAATTGGATAGTTCTTGCAATGGAAAGTGGAAGGGTAAGGGGGAAGTAAATCAATGATATATTATCAATCACTTTGCATCTCCAGTCAGAGATATCAAATCATATTAGTGGGATATAGAAGTTGCTGGGTTGGTTGTGATCTTAATTGGTGTTTTTAATTGGGAAATTAATGAAAGAGGTGTCAAAATTGATGGTTGAGAAAGATGAAAGTCCGTTTAATTGGCTTTGTATCATTTTGGTTCACAATTTCAAGCAAGCTGTTGGGGAAAATGCTGTACTTCTGATATAAGGTTTTGTGCTTTCAATTAGAATGGGACTAAAAACAAATTGGTAGACCAATCACACTGAGCTGCTTTACATACCTCCTAGTGACTATAAATATAGAAAATGACTGGGAATAGAGCCAGAAAAAACAAAATTTAGTTTAAATTTAGTGCTGTTTATGTTCCTACCCAGATAATGTATAAGTAATCAATTTGCCTTTTTAGTTTGAAGAAATTTACTCTGTAACAGTAACAATTGGCTGTGTTTAGTTCGAGTTCTGCTCCCAGTAAAACCAGTCTCTGGATTGAACCTTGTAATTCTAACTTGTTTGTCTATGAAGATATTTTTCATTTGAAGAATAAGGTGCTACAATTTCTTGAGAGCCTAAAAATGTTTTTTTTTTTAAAAAGTCAATAGCCATACTTGGCTCATCAGTTGAGAGAATGGGTGTGAAATATGGCTTGATTCTATGGTTGTGATAATGATGCCTTGACATCCAGAGTCCCTCTTTAGATTAATTGTTATGTCTAATCTCTTCACGTATTTCCCTATGGCCATATGCCTTCACGATACATAATCATGCAAGCCTTGCTCTGTATCTTTCAGGTTGCGGTGTGGCCCAGCAGCTTAGGGGTAATGTTGCTTGCATTGCTATGTGAGAGTGAATGTAATATCCCATTTTAGTTGTGCTTTTTATTTTCTTGCCTTTCCATGTTGGTCAATCTCAGTTTTTGCCAATGAAATCCTTTAAGATAATAAATGGGATCATGTGATAATATTATGGCTCATCTGATCTGTGGCCTTAACTGCATCTGCATCTAATTGTAAAATATGTTTTAAGCTCGGGACAATGAGTGGAGCTTCTAAAAATAATATAACCTGACTGGCATGGAGCTGATTGTAATGTTGGTATTTTCATTATTGGCTTTAGAATAAACTAATAAATTCTAGACCCCTTCAAATGACTGTTTTTCCTTTCTAGTTACAAGCAAACCTGTAGATGAAACTGACATTCACCTAATTCTAGAGTATTCCTCTGGTGCCAAATGGGGGAAGCTAGTGTCTCGAAGAGCAAACAGGTTTGTAGAATCAGTTTGCACAAATTAAGGTAATTAACCAAACTATCATACAATTTTAATAAATAATTGTAAGCTAGTTTGCATGCTCATCATTCATAGCAAGTTATTTCATAGATTGACTTTGACTTTGTAAAACAAATGCCTCTGAAAGCATTTCATACCAATTTATATTTAAAGTCCTTGGTTTTCATTTTACTTGCTTCTCTAATTTTAATGACAACTGCAGAGGTGTCAAAAGTAGACATGACTTTATTCCCTTGTCAGTATACTTGTTATAACTGGCATTACCTTAGTTGTGTACAAAGAGGAGACATGCTGTTCCCATTATGTTTTAATTCTTTTTAGTGCGTCCTTTTTCAATGAGTTGTCAGCATAGCTCAGGTGACAATTTAGTAAGGAAAGTCAGAATCTTGATATCTGCTCTGTGACAAGTTCTCGACACTTTGGTGTTCTGCTCCAGAGATTGGATGAGGCTATCTCTGTCACTATAAGATCACCTGCAGTGTGATTCATTTTTATTCCAGAGCTGCAATTTGAGCAATATAAATGTGTAAAATGAGAGTTTGTGTTAAACATCGTCATAATTGATGTACAGCACAGAAATAGACCCTTTGGTCTAACTCCCCGTGCTGATCGGATATCCTAGTTTAATCTAGTCCTGTTTCCCAGCATTTTGCCTCTATCCCTCTTAAACCCTTCCTATTCATGTACCCTTCCAGATGCCTTTTAAATGTTGTAATTGTACAGACTCCATCACGACTGGCAGCTCATTCCATACGTGCACCACCCTCTGCATGAAAAATTTCCCTCTTGGGTCCCTTTTAAATCGTTACCCTCTCGCATTAAATCTATGCGCTCTCATTTTGGACTCTGTTACCCTGCGGAAAAGACCTTGGCTGTTTGCCCTATCCATGCCTCTCATGATTTTACAAATGTCCATAAGGTCACCCCTCTGTCTCCGACTCTCCAAGGAGAAGGGCCCCAGCCTATTTAGCCTCTCCTTCGAGCTCCAACCCTGGCAACATCCTTGTAAATCTTTTCTGAACCCTTTCAAGTTTCACAACATCCTTCCTATAGCAGGGAGACCAAAATTGAATGCAGTATTCCAAAAGTGGCCTCGCCATTGTCCTGTACAACTGCAATATGACATCCCAACTCCTATATTCAATGCAGTGACCAATCAAGACAAGCGTACCTAATGCTGCCATCACTATGCTATGAACCTGCACCTCAAGATCTCTTTTTTTTGTTCAGGAAAACTTCTTGGGACCTTACCATCAACTGTGTAACTCCTGCCCTGATTTGCCTTACCAAAATGCAGCACCTCACATTTATCTAAATTAAACTCCATCTGCCACTCCTTGGCCCATTTGTTCAATTGAGGTAACTTCCTTCGCTGTCCACTACACCACCTATTTTGGTGTCATCTGTAAACTTGCTAACCATACCACCTATATTCAAATTCAAATCATTTATATAAAATGACAAAAAGCAGTGGACCCAACACAGAGCCTTGCTGCATGATACTGGTCACAGGCCTCCAGGCCAAAAAGCAACCCTGCACCACCACTCTAAGTCCTGTCTTTGAGCCAATTTTGTATCCAAATGGCTAGCTGTACCTGGATTTCATGAGATCTAACCTTGCTAACCAGTCTATCGTGCAGGACTTTGTCAAACACCTTGCTGAAGTCCACGTAGACAACATCCAGTGCTCTGCATTCATCAATCTTCTTTGTCACTTCTTGAAAAAACTCAATCAAGTTCGTGAGACATGATTTCCTGCACACAAAGCCATGTTGACTATCCCTAATCAGTCCTTGCCTTTCCAAATATGGGTAAATCCTGTAACAAAACATGTTTTGAATCAAGCGCAAAAGACGACAAGAAATGATTGTTCTAACTCGGCTGAAGGAGAAAGCTGAAAATTAACATTGGTTGGGATTTTCGCATTTTCAGACTGAGTCTGAAGGTGGGAGAGCTTCCAGAACGAAAGTCCATTACCTACTGAGGTGAGAGCGCCTGCTAGATCTTCTGGCAGTCAAGCAACTGGTGGATTTTCTGCCAAAATTAGCACCTTGGGGCAGGAAGTCCTGGCCAACCAGAGACTGGCAACACCACAGTGGAGGATATGCTGCTGCTGGGCCACTTCCCCTGGGGTTGTAAGATGGAGGATCACTGCTGGAAATGCCAGGTGTTGTTTGAGTTAGGGGGGGGAGGGTTGGGGGTTTTGGGGTTAGTCTTTAAATGAGGCATGGGTTCCGATTTGAGAGCAGTAGTCTCAGTTCCTCTGCTTCAAAATTAGTGCAGATCAAATGATCCCACTCCACAAACTGATCAACCAGTCTCTGCAGGCTACCTGCCAGGTGGGATGACTCTTTCTCATCCTGCCTAAACCTGAATTAATTGAGGACATTAAGTGAATTGACTTCCCCTGCGGCCACCTTGCCCATTACTCTTCAAGAAGAGTAGATTTCACCCACTATATGGTTGTCCGTGTTGTCCTGCTCTCCATCTAAATGTTTCTAAATATGTCAATTTGATAAATGTACTTAACTGTAGTTGATATTTTCAGTGGTTGAAACTAATCCATTATTTGACCTCCTTAGGTTCATAGTCCATCATGACACTTCCAATCCCATTTTGGAGTCACTTGAAGACTTTCAGGCTCAACTCCAGCAGTTTAAACCATCTCTACTGATAATTAGTGGGCTTCAAATGATGGATAATTTTCCCTTTCGACCAGGTGAGAGTAAAATGTGGTTGCATTATATGATGCAAATTGAAGCTGTTAAGGAAGAGAGGTAGTTTCCAGAAGCTCTTGTAGACTTGTAACTGAAGCTGCAGATTAAGATTTAGAGTTGCATTGCTGCTGTTGGAAACTGAAATAAACAGAATTACTGAAAGTAAAACTTGACTTAAAAATAATTGTTCATATTATCAACAGAACACTTTTCCCTGAGCTTCTTGCAGCTACTGAAGATCAAATGCATATTCCAGATGTCAATGTACTGTGATCAAAATTCATTTCCTGTACAGAGAATTACAATAGAGTACCAAGGAGCAATGGCACAGTTTGGTGATGCGCAGAATCAGTTTCTCTTAGCAGTATTGCAAATATGGAGGTACTAAAATGAGATCTGTTCTCATATTTATGCAAACATGGAAATTGGATATTTGTGGCCTTTCTTAACCTCTGTCAAAACGTCACCATCTTTTTGATTTAGAATCTGAGTACTTAATTGTGTTCCATGCATATACCATTGGAAAATCAAGTGTTAACACGGTTATACTCTTGTTATTCTTTGTGTGGCATGGGCGAGTTGGTGTTGGGCTACAGGGCCTGGTTCCATGTTGTATACTTCTTTGACTCTATGCTCCTCAAACTGTTTCCCTGGTCCCAGTAATGTTTTTGTGGAGGTTTACCAGAAGATGCGGGGAGAGCCCTGAAGCCTAATCCTGAAGTGTTTTCCAGTGCCCTTTTCAATGAGAAAATAGCTGTTTTCTGCTCGGTCACATTATGAACTTTTGAAAAGAAATAACCCACTTTCAGATGCTCAGTTTGGATTCTGCCAGGGCCACTCGACTCTTGACCTCATTACAGCCTTTGCTCAAACATAGACAGAGAGCTGAACTGATATAAGTTGCAAGTAAGCGATCTAAGCATCAAGGCAACATTTGACTGCGTATAGTATCATGTCCTCGTAATAGAATTGGTGGAAATTGGAGGAATAAGTCTCTGGATGGGGTCATATCTAGCTCCAAAGGCAACCAATTGTGGTTATTGAAAGCAAATCATCTCATTTCCAGGACATCACTGCTAGAGTTCCTTATGCAGTGTTCTGGACCCAACCATCTTCAGCTGCTGATTAATCATCAATGACACCCCACCCACCTATTTTAAGGTCAGTAGTGGGGATGTGCAGTTATCAATGAACAGTATTCAACACCAAACGTGACCTCTCGAATATTGAAATATGGTGTGTCCATACTCAACAAGATCTAGAGAGCAGTGAAGTTTGGGCTGATGTATGGCAGGTATGTTACTTGCCATTTACGTGCCAGGCCATAACCATCATCTGGTCTAAAAGGAAAATCAGTTGGAGCCCATTAATCTCCAAAGAGAGAGAATTTGACTATTGCTTCTTCAAAATCAGTGGAATTACAGTTGCTGAATCCTCATTTCTGAGAGTTACTGCTGTCCAGAGCCTGAACTGAAATAGTCATACAAATGCTGTGGTTACAAGAACCGGTCAGAGGCTAGGAGCTCTGTGGCAAGTAACTCCTCACGTGTCTACCATCCACAACTTACAAATCAGGAGTTTAATGGAACGCTTGCCACTTGCCTTGTGAGCAGTTTAACAACACTCCAGAAGCTTGACACATCCAAGGAAAAAGAATCTGTTACCCACCAACCCATCCAGCACCTTCAACGTTCACTTCCTGCACCAACAATGCACAGTTGCAGCAATGTGCGTCATCTACAAGACGTACTGCTCAATTCCACAAGGGTCTTTCAACAGCATCTTTCAAACCCATGACCACTACTGCCTTGAAGGACGAGGCAACAGATTCATGAGAACACCATGCCTTAGCAAGTTTCCCCCTTTTAGTCTTGCACCATTCTGATTTGGAGCTGTATCACTGTCCCTTTACTGTTGCTGATTCAAAATCTTGAAACTAACTTCCTAACAGCAGCACTTTGGTGTCCTTAAGCCCCGAACGACAGTTGTGGTTCCGAGGGCAACTCCACGTTTTTTCAATGTAACTGGAGATGGGTAGTTAATGCAAGCAATGCATTAAGACATATGACATTAGCTTGAAAGTTACTTTTTTATTTTTTGAGATATAGCAATTATGTTTATTAAATGATATATTAGGTGCAAAGGAGCCATAGTGCATTGTGTTGACATTTAATGTAAATGTTTGACTTTTCCTTTTGAGTGGCCTTGAATTTAAACATTTGATAAGATGACTAGTACTTAATTAAACGCTACTGTATTGAAGGCTTATTACATGCTGTGTTTACACACAACCCTCAGATCAAATCATCAAAGGATTCATTGTCTTCTGAAGGTACAGTTGCAATGTGTTTTGGTGAGGGTCCTTGAATCTTTGCATCTTTAATGTGCTTTAAAAGATCCAAACTAAACTGTACTTACAAATAACACACAGGAATGAAGAAGTCCAGTTGTATTGTTGAAAAGTCAATGCAATTACTATTCCTACATTGTGGAAACAGGCCATTTGGCCCAACTAGCTCACCAACCCTCTGAAGAGCATTTCTGCCCTCGCCCCCGCCCTTTCCCTGTAATCCTATGGCCAATCCATCTAACCTGCACATCTTTTGGATGTGGAAGGAAGCCCACACAAACATGGGGAGAACTTGCAAACTCCACACAGTCACCCGAGGCTGGAATTGAACCCGGGTTCCTGGTACTGTGAGGCAGCAGTGCTAACCACTGAGCTACAATGCCACCCTAAGCAGTACATTGCACTCGAGCCAGGTAGGATTCGAACTTCCAGGCTTCAGATCCAAAGTCCGACACATTATACCTTGTGCCACTGGCCTAATACCTGCCTCGGCACAAAAATCCCATTATAACTCTCTATAATCTTTTGCAATTCTCTACTTTTTATTACTAATTTTAATTTTAACATTAATGTATGAAATAACTAGCATGGTTTATGCTGCTTCAGTGTTATTTTGAAGTAACGAATTGAAGCACTTGAAACAAACTTTTAAAGAATTCTTTGAATTTGCCAAATTCAGAGTGCTTCTTAATGATTGCATGTACCAGTAGTGGTTACTTATTTTGGAAGAGAGGAACAGGAGTGGGTCTTTCAGCCCCTTGTGCCTGCACAACCATTCAATTAGATTATGGCTAGTCATCTGACTCAGTGCCATTTTGTCACACTATATTTCTCGCTGTCATTAGTCTCCAGAAATTTATTAATACACTGGAGCTTCCACAGCCATCTCTGGTAGAAAACTCCCAAAGGTTTTCCACCTTCTGAGTGAATAAATACCTCTTTGTCTTTGTGCTTATTGGCTTAACCCTTATTCTGCGATTTGTCTTCTAGTTCTAGACTCGCCAACCAGGGAAACATCTCTTCTAGGAGATAGCAAAAACTGTAAATGCTGGAGTTGGAGTCAATGCAGCGAAGAGCAGAAGGAACGCAGCAGGTCAGGCAACATTAGAGGAGCAGGAAAGTTGACGTTTCGGGTCGGGACCCTTCATCAGTCCTGATGAAGGGTCTTGACCTGAAACGTTAACTTTCTTGCTCCTCTGCCTGACCTGTGTTCGTCCAAACGTCTCATTTATTTGTCATGTCTTGTAAGAATTTCGTAAGTTTTAGAGCGACCACTCTTGTTCTTCAAACCTCTGGAGCATACTGACCAGGTCTCCTCAATCTCTCTCTTTTTAAAAACATGCCTGCCATCCCAGGGATTAGTCTGGTGAACCTCCATTGTACTCACTGATGACAGTATATTCTTCGTTAACTAAGGTGTCCAAATTTCTCTCCAGTACTCCAGGTGAGGTCTCACTCAGGCTCTATATGATTGCAGCAAGACATCTGCTCAAATCCCCTTATGATGGCTAACATACCATTTGCCTTCCTAATTAGTTGTTACACCTGCAAGTGACCTTTCATGATCATGAACCAGAATACCGAGGTCCTTTTGGCCACCAGCACTTCCCTATCACTCCCTCTCAAAAAATAATCTGCCTTTCTTCTGTACCAAAGTGGATATCTTCACACTTAGCCCGATCACATTTCGTATAGCATAATGTAGCCCACTCACCTAGCTTATTTGTAGTTTCCATACATCCTCCTCACAACTTGTGTTCCATCCTGGTTTTGTCATCAGCAAATCTTTAAAATATTACAGTTGTCCTCTATCTAAAACACTAACAAAGATTGTGAACAGTTATGGACTCAGCACCGATTTCTTGTGGAACTTGACTGATAGCCTGCCATTCTAAGAATGAAGGTGGAACAGTCAGTCTTCCGTTGTTACACTGGCACCATCCCTCATCTCTTCCTCTGCTACATCAATGACTGTATCGGTGCTGCCTCGTGCTCCCATGAGGAGCTTGAACAGTTCATCAGTTTTACTGCAATCTCAAATTCACCTGGACTATCTCTGATACTTTCCTCCCCTTCCTGGACTCCTCTGTCTCCATATTCGGTAACCATCTCAGCACCGACACCTATTTCAAATCCATCGACTCCCACAGCTACCTTGACGACATCTCCTCTCACCCACCCTCCCACAAGAATGTGATCCCTTACTTCCAATTCTTCTGCCTCCGCTCCCAAGATGGGGCGTTCCACTCCCGGACGTCGCTGATGTCCTCCTATGTCAAGGACCACAACTCACCACTCCCCTGTTGATCAAAGATGCCCTCAACCGCATCTCTTGCATTTCCTGCACTTCTGCCCTCGAACCCCCTCTCCCCAACAAAAATAGAGCGTTCCCCTGGTCCTCTCATACTGCCCCAGCGACTTCCTCATCCAGCATATCATCCTCTGCCATTTCCACCACCTACAATCTGACAACTCCAACAAAGAAATTTCCCTCTCCACCCCTATCTGCCTTTCGTAGGGACCGCTCACTCCAAGACCACCTCGTCTGCTCCACGTTCCCCACCAACCCCACCACACCCGGCACCTTTCCTTGCAACCGCAGGAGGTACATCCTCCAACCTGGTCTACTGTATCTGTTGCTCCCAGTGTGGACTTCTCTACATCGGTGAGACCAAATGTAGATAGATTTGCGGAGCACCTGCACTCTACGCTATAATCAACAACCAGTTGCTAACCATTTCAACTCCCCCTCTCACTCCCTTGGTGACATGTCCATCCTGGGCTGCCTCCAGTGCCATAATGATGCCACACGCAAACTGGAGAAGCAACACCTCCTATTCCACCTTGGAGCCTACAGCCCGATGGCCAAAACGTGGATTTTACCAGTTTCAAAATCTCCCCACCCTTGGCCTCATCTCATGTCCAACCTCCCTTATCCTTGCCTCCTTGACCTGACACTACCTGTCCATCATCTTCCCCACCTATCCACCCCACTCTTACCTTTGACCAATATCCACTACCCCTACCTGCATCCACCTAGCACCATCTCACTAAGCTTCCCCCAGTTTCCGAGATAACAAGGTGTAGAGCTGGATGAACACAGCAGGCCAAGCAGCATCAGAGGAGCAGGAAAGCTGACGTTTCGGGCCTAGACCCTTCTTCAGAACCCGGTCTCGCCCTTCTTTCCCTCTGTTTCCCAGCTCCCTTCCCCCTTCCCAGTCCTGATGAAGGGTCCAGGCCTGAAATGTCAACTGTCCTGCTCTTCTGATGCTGCCTGACCTGTTGTGTTCCTCTAGCTCCACACTGTATTGACTCTGACTCCAGCATCTGCAGTTCTTGCTATCCCTAAGAATGATGCCTATCCCGTCTGCTTTCTTTGAACCAATTCTCAATCCATGCCACTACATCCTATAAGTTCCAATTTTGTTGACTAACTTCCTGTATGGAATTTTTACCAAGAACCTTTTAAAAATCCAATTGCATCTCTTGATTCTCCTTTATCCATGCTGCAAGTGAAATCCTCAAAAAATTCCCAAGTTTGTCAAACATGATTTCCCTTTTCATGTATACGTGGTGTCTGTGCCCAATTTTAGCAATATCCAGATTTACTAAGTCTTTTCGATGTCACATCCTTTTAAAATAGACATAGCTGCTTCTAACGCTAAACTAACATTTGTAGTTCCCATTTTCCCCCTCCCTCCCTTTTTAAATAGTGGGGTTATGTTTGCTACTTTCTGCTGGAGCCTTTCCAGAATCTGTAGAATTTTAAACAACAATTAATTGGTTATCTATCTGTATAGCTACTTCCTTTAACACTGGAACGCAGTTCTTCAGGTCCATGGAATTTGATCCTTGGTTAACTTTTTAGAAGTACTATCTTTTTAATAATACTAATATTTTTGAGTTCCACAAGTTCCTTAACACCTAGTATTTCTGGGAGATTTTCTGTATCATTGTGAAGACAAAGCAAACTAATTGCTTTATTTCTGTAAGAATTTCCTTGTTCTCATGTCTCAACTTTTAATGTGCTCATTTTGTCTGAGCTAATCTTTTCTTTCCACATACTTTATGAAACTTTTACAAACTGTATTTCTTGCTGGCTTACATTCGTATTCTCATTTTTCTTTTGTCAGTTTCTTGGTCCTCTGCTGCTGGGTTTGAAATTGTTCCCAGTACTCTAGTTTGCCAGTCTTTCTAGTATCCTTTTATAAGCTACATCCATTTAATTTAATGTAGTCTTTAACATCTTTTGTTAGCATTGATTTGATTTACCTCTCCCTTTTGGATGTTTGTGCCTAGGTGAATTATACATCTATAGATCACGTACTATTTCTATAGAACTAGCTGTTGCTTGTCTGCCAGCAATTGCTTTAATTCATTTAGCCAATCCACCATAGCCACCTTGCCCCTAATATTTCCGTAGTTTCCTTTGTTCATATTTAAGACCCTAGTTTCTGAATGAAATATGGTAATGTTGAAACTTAACTGTTTAAAGGACAACTGTTTTAACGACACGGAGGATACTGTTAATGTTAAAGACCGCAGTGTTCTCATGTCTACATTGAATGTCATCAACAGAAACAGCTTCATCCAGCAGCAATTATTTAGTGTAAATCCACCTCTAGTTTCTCTTCAACTGACTACCATGGAGTGATGTAGAATTTTGTATTGGATTTGAGTGAAAAGGGATGTGGTAAACATTTTCACAGGTAATACAATATTGATCATTTATTAGATCAATAAACTTAAAATTATTAAACCATATAGTTGGAATTAATTTTGCTGACCTTTTTGATAAATGTTTGAGTATATCTTATTACACTTATCAAAACGGCCTAGATCTGAAACTGACTTGGTGAAAGAAACAGTTTAGTAGTTGAATCTTGTATACAGACTTTTTTTTTTAAACCTTGATTGTTTTCCATTTGCCTTTTGAGACATTGGGCCAGAATGTACAATTCTGGGAAGTGACCAAGCAAGAATTCAGACAAATGAATAGAATTGGTTGTTGCCCATTCAATTTCCATTAACTTTTACATGGCAAGTTGTTGTAAGCAGCAGATCAAATCTCTTACAGTCAAAAAAAATTGGACTAAATTTTTTAAGAACTCCTAATGACAGTTAAGTACTGGAAGGATGAGACTCAACTCGTAAAAGTTAACACATTAAAAACAAAGTGCTGGAAGAAACTCAGTAGGCCTAGCAGCATCTATAGAAAGAAAAAACTGTTAGCATTGAGAGTAGTAATATTTTGTCAAAACTGGTCACTGGATTTGCAACATTAACAGGTTTTATCTCTCCAGATGCTGCCAGACCGGCTGAATTTCTCCCAGCACTTTGGATGTGGGAAATCACCAAAAATGCAGTTCTTTTTATTATTGTAAAAGTTAATAACTGAGTTATTAACACTCATCATGTCACTTAAAGATATGTAGACTGTATGTAGTGTGTAGACATGCCTAATTTACTGTGGCAAGCTTGGTTTGTATCTGATGCACAAATACACCTTAACATCATTCAAAGCATTTCAATAGTGGGCCACAGTGATGCTGTTTATGCAATACTAACGCAAGAGTGGCACACCACCTAATAGCTATTTACTTACTTACTTACTGATTTATTGATTGATTTATTTATTGATTGATTGATCCTAGTCTGAAGTTGTTGCGTTGTCCATAAATATTAGAGTACAATTTACCTCACTAGTAATTTGAAAGCTGCTTATGGACACTGTCCTTCAGTTTCTGATTGTAGTTGTATTCGGCCATATTGCTTTGCACAATCAAGCACTCCTTGATAGCTAATAATATCTAACTTGAATCTGTGTCTATCCCTACAAAACATGTGCATCTCTTGCGACAGATTTTTTTTTTCTATTGCTGTTGTTCCACCTTTTCTCTTTTTTTCTCTTCAGTTTTCTGTATGTACGTAGTTTCTATTTTTGACTCCTTCGTCATTTAAGTAGTTGGCCAATAAACAGCTAAGGATAAATCAGAGTTAATTTCAATTCTGCATGTGTAATAATGGCCAGGAACAGTGTACTTTGTTTCCCAACTCCCATTGCTATCCTCGACAGTGCATGCACACCAAGGCATTTGGTGTGTGCTCCCTTGGTATTCTATTTGGCGTATGAGTCATTTCAATTCTACTTTTTCAAGCCTCCAAAAGACGATTTATGTTGACATCTGCCTGTAACCCTTCCTCTCCCTCTTCTTTATTAACAAAATGCTCCTATGTGCTCGCTCTTTGGCCTACAAATTTAATTATCCCAGCCTCCTTTCTGTTTTTCATTTGCATGATTTCTTTGGTTAATAATAAATATGAATTTTATGTATTTAATTTGCTTCAAAATTAGTCAAACACATTGACGTTTTAGGTTCAGTTTTTATCCCATCAGAGCAATACAGCGTTGTAACAAAATTGTGTAGTACGGTGCAGTGCCGTACCTTTGAGTTGCTGAATTTTCTCCCCGTGTCAAAACGTAGAGAGCCAGTTGAGGGTAGGCAAGAATCTGCTACTTCTAGGAACACCACATTTTATTTGAGGATTCATTTAAAATTTTGGATTTGGAAATTTTTTTTTAATTGGCTTTTACCAGTTATGGTTGGCTTCAGGGATTGAATGGAAACTAATTTAGCTTCCAGACCGTTGCTCTACTCTAAAGTGACTTCCTTCGCATGTTAAGTAAATCAGAGCATCTTTTGAAGTTGAATGCAGCACAATGAAACTTGCTTTAAAAACCATTGATCATCATAGAATTCCTACAGTGTGGAAACAGGCCATTTTGGCCTAATAAGTCCACATTGACCCTCCGAAGAGCATCCCACTCAGACCCAATCCCCCACCCTATCCCTATAACCCTGCATTTCCCGTGGCTAATCTACCTAGCCTGCACATCCCTGGATACCATGGGCAATTCAGCATAGCCCATTCCCCCTAACCTGCACATCTTTGGACTATGGGAGGAAACTGGAGCACCTGGAGGAAACCCACACAGACATGGGGAGAATGTGCAGAATCCACACACAGTCACCCAAGGGTGTCCCCAAGTTGAATAATTCCATCCTCCACACCCTCCTCCCTTAATCACATGAGATGGTATGGATACATCTATTCATTACTTCAGCTGTTGGTCATAATTATCAAGTAAAAGACATATATTGATGTTGACTGAAGAAATGAAAATGACCTTGACATTTTATTAATTGGAAGTGACTTGCTTAATGTGTCAAAACAAACCAAATTATCCTTGGGAATTTAGCTCTGTCTGTACATAATATGAATAGCTTGGTAATGTTTGTATATTGAACAATTTTTTTTCTGCTTGTTTGCTATTTTTGGAGAAAAGTTTGCAATTCATATTGGGTTGGTTGAGGAAACTGGCATAGTTTTACTTACTGTACACTCCATGCCAAAAATATTATTTTTGAACAATTAGAATGTACCAATGCATCATTATGATGCATTAACAAACTTCTTTCTTTTCTTACAGGTCAACTTGATGAGCGGTTAAGATTGCTCCAGGATCTCATGTTATCAATTGATAGCACCACTGGAATCCATTTTGAAATGGCTTCTTTTGTGGACGGCAGTGTTCTGAGCAAACTTCTATCCCATGTCGTCACTCATGTAGACTCGTTAGGAATGAATGAACAAGAGTTACCCAATCTTCTTAGCATGTTAAAGGGATCCAATATCACTGTCTTGTCTGACCCTTACCCAAGAGTAGCAAATGTACTTGATCAAATGCGGGATGTGTATCGTATCCTAAATTCTCAGGAAATAAAAAGCACACACCACAGACTGACACGTCTGCATGTTCATACTCTTGCTTTCCAGGCAATCATTATTGCTAAAGGGTCCTTTTGGAGAAACACCATGTCAGCAGCTGCCAAAGCTTCACTAACTGCAAATCGCCATGTTTGTGGCTCACCAAATATTGACACCAGCAAAGCCAAGTTGATTATGGATGATTCTTTTTCTATAAGCCGTGAACAAGGGAGTAAGAAAATTCTGCTTGAAGAAGATCGCCCTGTTTCTTGCTGGGAGGAGTACAACTATGAAATTTGTGTTGCTCCAGTGCTAGTATGTACTGAGGTCTATCAGACTGTGGGTGGTGGTGATAATGTTTCTGCAGCCAGCTTGGTTCTGCAGATCTAATAACCTTTCTCGCTCTGAAGCAGAGGAGAAGGTTGGAACCAGCATATGTTTCAATCCTTGCTTATTACCTTGAGGGAGCTTCATACGTTTTCATGCTTGCACCTTCCTTCCCACCCTTCACACCCTCCAAAAATAAAATTTTATAATCGACTGTGTATACTTTGGCCTCTTGTAATCAACATGGAGGTTCTTGGGTATTGTTTAACTATTCATTTTTCACAATGTTTGTATAAATTATTCCATGGTCCTCAATTTTATAAGGTGGAATTTTGGTTTATACTTTTTTGTCCGTTTTGTTTCTGACAGCTGTGACAATATTGAAAACATAGTATTTTATTTAGTTACAGCTCCCCATTTTCTTAGGAATACTCTGAACTTGAGCCAGACATTGCACTATTATATAAAGCTTGGTGCATTCCATCTTCACTTTTCAGTCAGTATTTTACATCCTCGTGGCTGCCAAAGTGGCCTGTTGAAACTGAGCTAAGTCTGTGACTATTCTCAGGTGCAATTCAGTCCTGTGTTGCTTTTTCTTCCTAATAGGATGTTATATAGTCTCTGTATATCTTGCTTTTTTTTTTCTTATTTCTGGTCATTCCTAATTCATTTCCAGGAGCACAGGCAGCTGTTAAGGACACCACAAATGCCCTAGTGAGTTTAGATAGGTTGTTTCTTTGGTCGTGGACAGGGAAGATAGAGAAGCCAGTCATGATGTGTTTGCTCTCACCATACTTGTAACATTTATCTCCAATCAGCCTGATTGGAGTGTGGGAACATTTACCCACAATTGAATATGGGAACATTTGACTGTTCTGCCCTTCTCTCCCTATTGAACATCGGAGCCTATCCTAGCGTTTCCTCCCTCGCTCAGATCTGTTAATACGGGTAGGCATTTTCTAGTCTGTGGTTTGATATCTTTTCTGTGGTATATTTGGCCTCTCCTTCCTCTCTGAACTACATACCTTCTCTTTTGAGAAGGTTAGAGTTAAAATAACTGGACAAGTCTGAAACAAACTGGGAGCTCTCTAATAGGGAATCTACTCAGCTCTCAAACTGCTGAACATTGTCACTTCAATGTAAACTTTCAATAATTTCAGCAGAAAACAGAATTTTGCTGACTATTTGTATATTCAAAAAGCTGAAGGGGGTATTGTCCTTCAATTTTTAGCAAGAAGTATAAAACTGTATTCCTTGTTTTACACTTAGTTTTCTTTTTCATAATGTGAGGAAAATGTAAATTACCATGATAATGTGAATGGATCTGGGAAAATATGAAAATAAAACTGCTTTAGTAGGTTAACCATGTGATGGGTCAAAATAATAACACGGATAAAAGTGTAATTTTATTTTAAATTGCATTAGTGTTAAAATTTTTCCTTTTTGGAGGCTGGGGATCCAAATCAAGCAGACACTCACTTATAACCAGAGTTCTGCTAGTTAGGTGTCAAATCAGGAAGCACTTTATTCATTACACTATAATGAAAATCTATCACTTCCTTCCCTTCCAACAAGACTGTCGTTGCCATGTCAATTGAAAATTTCTAGACAGCATTTGATGGGTTTTTATTAAATGAGACTTAATAGGAGTATGGAGGAATCAAGTAAATGTTGAGGTCCAGATCAAACTGAACAGTGATCAGGTTTGAGCGACTTGTAAAACCTGTGCCTATGTTTTCTCTGGATGTTATTTAATCACGCAACAAAGAGATCATTGCTAACTGAAATTTGGAGGTTAACTGAAAAACTTTTGAGAAATTCATTGGAAATGGTGCACAGCCAGTGCACCAACAATATTGTTTTTGGAAGGCTGGAAGCTTAACATTCTGTTGTAATGAGGTGAGTAGCAGTGAACTTACTAGAGTTTTGCTAAATCTGAGTGCCTTTGGATATTTAATGTTGAAAAGGTGCTACTTAAATAAGAATTATATAAAATTGCTTTACCTACTGAGAAATGCTTTTTGTGTCAAGCATGAAAGAAAATCTTGACCTCTTTCCACTTTTTTTCCCCCATCCTACTCTGAAACACAGGCTATTTTATTAAATAGTGACCTTTTTGACTGATTTCCGCCTCATTGTTTTTAAGTGAGTCTTTGCCAAAAGGGGTACATTTTTAATAGATGCCAATTATTGAAAACAAATTTGATACTGCTGTTTAATATGATAAATGGTATAGTGTTTTTGCACTGATCATTCTTTTAATCAGCATTTGTTCATTAGTCCGTGTAACTTAAAAGGTCTTTAAAACAAATGATGTAACTATACATTTTGATTTTTAAAAAAAGCTTTCGATTTAAAAAGTTTATTTGCTAAGTATATATTTTACTTTCATTGAAAGATCATACCTGAGCCATTCTTGTGAATATGAAGCTATATTCTCTTGCATTTAGTTGATAACCAACTTTAATCCAAGTTTTGAAATTTAACTGTAAATTATCTATTGCTAGGCCATCCTGTTATTAGGTTATTCTTTCATAATCTTTGTAGTAATGTTGAGTGAGCAATTCTGATAGCTATATATTTTAAAAACAAATGCATTCAAAAATAACTAGTGAGGTTCTCCACGTGATATGATATGTCCACTGTATGAAGAGCTCAAATTTTAAATGACACTCTAAATGACCAAAGTGGAAGACTGGTTTGTTTTGAATACCTTTTGATGTTTTTGACCAATCTAGAAATATGACTTTGTCAACAACATGCAATAAATATTTTAGATTTGTCCAATAACTTGTTGCCCAGTGTACACAAAATTAATAACTGCCTATGTTACATTCCATAACTTAAATTGATACACCAACACTGGGATCCTGGCTCCTGAAATTGCTGTTAGTTGTGTGATGTGCAATGTTCTTATTTGAATAAATCCAGATTCTTAAGATGGGATCTCAACATTGTTTGAATCCTTGTAGTAGCCACGAGCTTGCTTTTATATAGTCACAGATTTTATACAGGGTATGACTTTTTAAAAAAAATACTGCTGCACCATTCCAAATAGCCTCAGGGATGGGTAGATGATATGTACATTATTGTTGATCATGCCCTTCTGGTGGGAATGTGAAGAAATGTATTTAACTTGCTTGAAACAATGACTTTGCTTTTTGTGGCATGACAAAATTTAATTAAATTTCTCAAACTTTCAACCGTTGTTATGAGCTGCTTTATTTTCCCTATAATGCTTCAGATGAAATACCCATTTTATTTTGTACTTGTTTCCAATAAACTGATTGAATATTTAATTGCCTAATTATTCACCAACTGAAAAGTGTCCATCGTTTTGGTTGAGATGGAGGCTGCAACTGATCTATTGGCACAACTTCTGAATGACAACTGCTTCCTGCTGTTAGGAGTATAGTGCAAATAATGGAATGCTAGAAAATCATGAAGTGGAAAAGCTCATTTTAGGTTAACCTTTGTGAATATGACTTGGCCGAAACTTTTTCCTCAATGTTTGCTATTTAATAATTTGTAAGGCTAGTTTGGCTATTTTAGATGCCAGTGAGTTAGTCATGTAGTGTGGGATTGAAATGGCATGTAGGTCAAATGGGGTAACGATGGTAGACCCTCTTAGAAGGATAATGATCCAACTGGGTCTTTTACATCATTATAGAAGCTTTCATTTATGGTTTTTCTTTTACCTGACCATTACTGACCGGTTTATTCAAATTCCCAAATTATCATGGCATGATTTAAATCCAGTCAAGTAATATAATCATTTTACATTATTATAGTCTGTGCATTTAATTATCATTACTAGGAATGGACATTGAGCAACTCAAGTAGCACTTTTAAGATGATGTGATCATCTTAAACATCATCCAGCTAAACTAGGATTAAAACTGAGTAGATGATTCTAAGTTTCACTCCTTTAGAAAATGGACAAGCCTCTAGAACAGGAGACCTTTGGGGAGGCATCAAGTTAAGTTTCTTGAAATTGACATGTTCTCAAACAAAATTGAGCCTCCTTAAATTGTCCTCATTGAACAGTGAGGGTATTTCAATAGTAGGCTGCTGCATTGACTATGGGTCATCTGCTTCATTCGGGGTGAAGAAATTGTGTCATTGGGACAATAGCTGACTATTAGTAATCAAACAGATTGTGATAACTGCTGATGTAACAAGTGACCCTTTGCTATCTTAGCTAAATTAAGTACAGTGACTGCTTCTTCCACAATATACTACTTGGCTGCTGAATGATGTGTTTTGTGTTCTTATCATTACTCTTGAGCAAGTCAAACTATTTTCCATTTTAGTCTTGCATACAAGGAGACTACTTTACCAAATAGAGAAATGTATCTCTGTAGATCCTTCACTTTTGAATCAAAGTGCCATATGTCTTGACAAAAAACTGTTCAAACAAAACTTTATTCATCCCATAAATGAAAATCTTCCATTAAAGTTACATTTCATTCACATTTATATACATTAATATTTAAACATGATCAAAATACAGATTAGAAATAAGTATTTTTACACTCTTTAAACAAAATTGCAGTAAATGCAATCTTAAAGGAGCTCTTCAAAATATATTTAAAAACATTAGTTTGAGATTGAAGGCATGTTGTGCAGCATCTTAACATTATTAAAAATTATTGAATGGCCAGATTTAGCTCAGTTTATTGGCAGCTTCATTGACATCTGCTTTAATGACTCCATGGTTAGCCTGGATGGTGTTCTGAGTTGAATCAAGAATTCTCTTGACCTTCATGAGAAACTGATACCTGGGACTTAGTGAAACATTTCAGTGCTCTAACCAGAACTTGATCCAAACATCTAAGCATGTATTTAGCATGACAATAAGTGACAGAGGTAATATTTATAAATTAAAATACTATTAACCAGTGCTTAATGTAAGCCTAGCTCACTACTAGATGCCATTCACATTTTAATGGTGATACTGAAACTGCAATACATACAATGGCCCTAATGTTTTTGCATAGAATTTTTATCTTTAATCCCATTTTTGAGTGAATGAATGCAGAGTGTAATTGTTTACCAAGTAGAACAGGAAGGTTAAGGTTTTCATACTTTTGTCTATGTTTAACCAGAAGATTATAGCCAGTGCAGTAGTGGCAGAGGAATAATTAGCCTCTGTTTTACAGGACCTGGGAAGCAAGTTGTGGAAAATAAAATCCCAACTGCAAAAATATAAAGATCCTGAGGGCACGTTGGCAGGATGGATGCTGTGAGGGTGCTTCCCTGTGTTGAGGAGACCAATTGGAAAATTAAGAGCCAGATCCCTCAAGTAACGTCAGGAAGCACTTCACATTTGAAGGGTGATAGTTTGGAACACCCTTCTGTCAACAGCAACTGATAGATTAATTATTATTTTTAAAAAGTAATGGTGATAGCCTTTTGTTAGACAAAGTAATTAAAGAATATGGAGTCAGGTCTGACCTAAGGTTCAAGTGGATAAATGGCTAGTTCCACCCCCATTTTCTTGTATCCTGTCATTCTCCTTCTTAACACATGAGCATTGTTTAAATGATCAATGTGACAGAAGTATGTAATTTCTTGGCAAATGATACTGAACATACATTGCAGAAGAGCTAGTGAACAGGTAATATAGAATTATGTACATTGTTGATCACTGAAGAAAACTTGAGGAATATCAGCCACTTAGAAACATGGTTAAATAATTCACATACATCCAAAACACTGGTTTTGCATTCTACATGTAGTTCAAAATGAGAATTTTAGTAATGGGCTGCTGTGCATGTGCATTTACTTTTTAAATTTTTCTTGATTGTGAAAAAGTAGAATAAAGCAGTAAGATATTAAGCTAATTACCTCAAGCCATGCAATAAATTAGCAACAATTTGTCTGCTCTGCCATTCCCTTCCACCCCACAATGTTCTAATACTCAAAAGTGAGGGAGGACAAATAAGAGCAGATCCTTAATGCCACTATTTGATGATACCATGTGTTTTACAATGTTGCACTCATCTCGTATTAACTTAGGCATTTAGACTGACTTTTTTTTTTCCATGAAACCTGTTTGTTAACCTTTACTGGGTGTTTTTTAAAAGAACTAATTGCTTGAAATTAGCAACTGCTACCAATTGAGAACATTAGAAACTGGGTGATCATTGAAATATTTGTTTGCAAGTTACTTTAATACTGAATATTGTTAAGAGAAAGTAGCCTGGGAGCTGGGTATACATTGTGCCAGGAACTGGAAGTACTGGCTCTGGGAATAACATGACCTGAAGGAGGTGAAGCTGAGAGAGACAGAGTGAGAGAATATTCTTACAAACTCAATACATTTTAGTAGAAATAGAATTTGAGATGGCTGATAATTTATGAGTTCCAAACTGCTAGTTTAGGATGACATTTAAACAACATTTAAGGAAAAATACTTCTTGTAACATGAGAAAAATGCAGCAGGACTAAACATTCTGTGCGTAAGACCAACTTAAAGGCACCTCAATATGATGTGTATTAACTATCAGTCAGTATCATATCCTAAAATGGGTCCCAGCCATTTCTCAATGTCTTCTACTTTCATCTGTTTTCTGGCTGCATAATCCTGGACCTGTAAATCAATTTCACATTCATATGAATTTGAAAATTCCAACAAACTATCACATCAATACACAGGTTTAACTCCTGATCTAGACATTGATCTGCAAATTCAAAATATGCCATCCTTGTACATTTTACATTTAAAAAATCTGCTTCATAAGATGATTCTGCACTTTATGGTTTTAAATGTAGAATGTAGGTTTAAAATATTCTCTGGATAATAAAACTAAAAAAATTAAAACACAAACTGTTGCATTCATTAGATTGAACATAATTTTTGTGGTATTGAGTTTGACATATACTTTTAAGTCCTTTTTGTTTGGCTCACAATTACTTTTAATGTTGGTGTTATATGGTAAACAGCAGCTGCTTTTAAAATAAAATTGGGAGGAATATAAAATTATCTTTTTCAAAGGATGGCAATTTACTAAAATGGTAATTATTGGATGTGTGAGCCTTGAATAGAAGATTTTAGCAGACGATTCATCTATGGGAGATCTATAAAACTGGGTCTGAACCTCACCTCAACAAATGCAGCAGGTGTCTCTGCATAAGGATCAAGAATCGGAAATTGTGCTGATTCCTTGTCCCATTGTCGTTCGCTACCTTTTGGGCATAACTGCTTTGGCTTAACTGAAGTCAATAATTTCACACTTCGGTGTGAACCTGGGATTTTGTTTTTGTTACCTGCATGTGTCAACTACTCAAAATGATTCATTGAGTTTTGCAATAACCAGGATAGCTCAAGAACCAGATTCTTATGCCCTACCACTATATGATCTTTCATAATGAAAATCTAATTTTCCATTTAATATCTTCATAAACCTGAAATAGTGCTCCTCTCTTGCCCTCTGTACATCGATTTTACCCAATTCATTTACTACATGGTGCATCGAACTCAATATCTACCAATAGCATCCTTTATGTTTGCTCTTTATTTGGTTTTGCAGGAAATTCCCTAAAAACTCATCACTCAGTTCTCCCTGTGGTCCCATCTTGGGAATTTCTCAGTTTTATTCAATGGCAGCCTTAGGCAATTAGGATGGCATTCAGAATACATTGACAATACAAATTCAATCCCAAAATCCACACCTCAGTGCTGTATTAAAAGCAGTGACAAAAGAAGTCACAAAGCAGAGTTTAAGCCCTATGTTAACTTTATGGTTCAGCTGACGCTTCATTACAGCACAGTCATAGAGGAACAAAGCATTCAAACAGGCCCTTTGGCCCAAACTGGTCAGCATGGACTCAGCTAGTTCCAATTGCCTGCATTTGGTACATATCCCTCTAAACCCTTCTCATCCATGTACCTATTCAAATGCTTATTAGATGTTGCTACTGTACTTGCCTCAAACACTTTCTCTGGCAGCCCATTCCAATTAAGCACCACTCTCTGCGTGAAGAAGTTGCCCCTCAGGTCCTTCTTAAATCTATCCCCTCTCACCTTAAACCTATGCCTTGTAGTTTTCAATTCCCCATCCCTGGGAAAGACTATATGCATTCATCCTATCTATGCCCGTCATGATTTTACACACCTCAATGAGGTCACCCCTTATTCTCCTACGTTGTAAGGAATAAAGTCCTATCCTGGCCAACCTCTCCCTATACCTCAGGCCTACTAGTCCTGACAACATCCTTGTAAACCTTCTTTGCACACCTTCCAGTTTAACTATCTCTTTCCTCTCACAGGGTGACCAAAACTCTACATGATATTCCAAGTGCAGCCTCACCAACGACTTTTACAACTGTAACATAACGTCCCAACTCCTATACTCAATGCTTCGAATGATGAAGGCCAGCATGCTAAATGCCTTCTTCATCACCCTGTCCACCTGTGACAACGCTTTCAACAAACTATGTATTTGTACTCCTAGATCCCTCTGTTCTACAACACTCCTCAGGACCTTACCATTTACTGTATAAGTCCTACCTTGGTTTGACTTTCCAAAGTGCAACACCTCACACTTATCTGTATTGAATTGCATTTGCCAGTCCTCAGCCCACTTCCCCATCTGATCAAGATCCCTCTGTAATTTTTGATAACCTTCCTTGCTGTCAATGATACCTTCTAATTTTGTATCATCCACAAACTTACTAATCTTGCCTAGTACATTCACATCCAGATCATTTATGTAAATAACAAATAACAAAGGTCCCAGCACCCAGCCCTGTGGCACACCACTAGTCACAGGCCTCCAGTCTGAGAAACAATCTTCAACCATCACCCTCTGCTTTCTACTATCGAGCCAATAGTGAATCCAATTAGTTTGCTCTCCCCAGATCCCATGCAACCTAACTTTCATGACTAGCCTGCTGTGCAGGACCTTGTCGAAGGGCTTACTAAAGTCCATAAAGATAACATCCACTGTCCTACCCTCATCCATCCTCTTGGTTACTTCTTCGAAAAACTCAAACAATTTGTCAGACATGACTTCCTGCCTACAAATCCATGCTGACTATCCCTAATCAGATCTTGACTATCCAAATATTGGTTGATCCTATCCGTTAGCATCCTCTCCAATAACTTGTCTACCACTGAGCACTTGAAGAATTCGTCATTGGTAGAATTTTTTTTTTATTTCAAAATATACTTTATTCATTAAAAATATCTTTAAACAGTCACAAATGCAGTTTGGTTCTGCAAGACAGTATATAAGGAACAAATAAATGTTAGTCTGTTTAGATATAGTCAAGCTCCAAAGACACGTCTTACTTGAACCAGACTATATTTACATGCATTTGAGGTACCAGGAGGATATGATAACTGACCAGACCCCCATTTAACTTCAGCAGGAAGATCTCAGACTTTTGCCACTGCGCCTTGGCAGCAACTGCCCCAAGCTTTACTGCATCCCTCAGTACGTAGTCCTGGACCTTGAAACATGCCAATCTGCAACACTCGGTCAGGTTCAACTCCTTGCTCTGGAAGACCAACAAATGTCGGGCAGACCAAAGAGCGTCTTTCACCGAGATGATGGTCATCCAGGTGCAGTTGATATTTGTCTCAGTGTGCGTCCTGGTGAACAGACTGTACAGCACGGATTGCTGCGTCATGGGGCTTCTCGGGACAAACCTTGACTAAAACCACTGCATCTTTCTCCAGACTTCTTTTGCAAAGGCACATTCCAGAAGGAGGTTTGTGATAGTCTTAAATACCCACTCCGCCTCAACTGCTTAGAGGGTGGCACACAATGACGCAGACAGGATTATTATACTTTTATGGAGACATCACGCAAAAATCCTGCTTCCAGATGAATGTTGTAAGAGCATGAGTCTCCTGGACAACTTTTTCCAGCAACATCACAATCAGATTAACTAGCCACTCATCACTGTTAGTTATGAAATCCTCTTTATGGAAGGATGTGTGGCAGATATCTTCTCTGAATCGTGAATTGCATTTCAAGGCAACTAAATGAATACACAGCACTTGTCCAATGTTAAAGGAAATGTAGAAAATTGCTTGTATTTACATAAGGCTCGTGTTTGATACAGATCATGAATCCACTAAAGTACTTTACAGTTGATTAAGTACTTTTGAAATATGACTTTTAATGTTGAGAAATATGGCAGCTAATTTATTTTCACAATGTTGAAGTGTAAACATTGGCCAGGATACTAAGTGAATCCCACACTCTTCAAATACTGTATGGGATCTTTGTGCCTGATCTTAATGTAACTATTCAGTGTAATATCTCATTTGAAAAACATCACCTTTGACAGTAAAGAACTCTCTCGGTATTGTATTAAAGATAATCCAGAAACACATGCTCAAGCAAAAATAATAAATGGAAACATTTCCAAAAGCTAAGTGAAAGAGGTTCAATTATACAACTTCATGTAGCCCCCAAAAATTGAAGAAAGCATTCTCAGGTTTTGTGTGCCTTCCCCTACTATTTCCACAGATTAAACAGATTTAACCATGCATTTTCTCGATTCATTTGCTTCACAAATTAACAACCAACCTGTTCCTTTGTAATTTTTCCAACAGCAAAATACACAGATTGTGGACTGGAAAAGTAAAAGCCTGAGACTGCAGCTGCTGGAGTCATAGCCAAGGATTCTGTCAATGCAATTCCTGTGCAGAAAGTAAAGAGAAACTGTTTCAGTCTGATGTCGATGAGGCAAGACAACTAAATATTAAATCTTCACCATTTATTGAATGTGGAGCACAGGAATGAGCCCTTTGGTCCACGATGTTGTGCTGAACATGACGCCTAATTAAACTAATCCTTTCTGCCTGCCCTTGGTTCATATTTCTCCATTCCTTGCATATTCATGTGCTTATTGTGAGATAGTAAGACCTGCCGATGCTGGAGTCTGAGGTAACACAGTGTGGGGCTGGAGGAACACAGCAGGCCAGGCAGCATCAGAGGAGCAGGAAAGCTGACGTTTTGGGTCGGGCCCCTTCTTCAGATTCTGAAGAATCACACACTTTCCACTGTGTAAAACAACTTGCCCCTTACATCTCCTTTGAACTTTCCCTCTCTCACTTAAAAGCATGCCCCCTAGTTTTAGGCATTTCAACTCTGGGAAAAAGATTCTGACTGTCAACCCTATCTATGCATCTCCTAATTTAATAGATTTCTATCAAGTCTCCCCTCAGCCTTCACCACTCCAGCGAAAATAACCTGAGTTTTTCTGGCCTCTCTTCATGGTTCATACTCTAATCTACACAGCATCCTGGTAAACCTCTTCTGCACCATCTCCAAAGCCTCCACATACTTACTGTAATGTGGCAACCAGAGCTGAACATAATTCTCTAAGTGCAGCCTCACCAAAGCCTTATAAAGCTGCAACATGACATCCTAACTCTTGTGCTCAGTTCCCCAACAATACAGAGAAGTATGGCATATGCCTTCTTAACCACCCTATCTACTTGCATGGCCACTTTCAGGGAGCTATGGACTTGAACCCCAAGATCCCTCTCTACATCAACGCTGTTCAGGGTCCTGCCATTAACTGTATACAGTTTCCTTAACAATTGATCTCCCAAAGTGCAGCACCTCACACTTAACAAGGATTAAGCTCCATCTGCTATTTCTCCACCCATTTCTTTTTTCTCTATTCATTTGTGAGATGTGGGTGTCGCTGGCTGGCCAGCATTTCTTGCCCAACCCTTATTGCCCTTGAGAAGGGAGTGGTGAACTGCTTTCTTGAACTGCTGCAGTCCTCCTGCTGTGGGTTGACCCACAATGCTATTAGGGAGGGAATTCCAGGATTTTGACCCAGCGACAGTGAAGGAACGGCGATATATTTCCAAGTCAGGATGTGAGTGGCTTGGAGGGGAACTTGCAGGTGGTGGTGTTCCCATATGTCTGATGCCCTTGTCCTTCCAGATGGAAGTGGTCATTTGGAAGGTGCTGTCTGATGATCTTTGGTGAATTTCTGCAATGCATCTTGTAGGTAGTCCACACGGCTGCTACAGAGCGTCAGTGGTGGAGGAAGTGGATGCTTGTGGATGTAGTGCCAGTCAAGCAGGCTGCTTTGTCCTGGATGGTGTCAAGCTTCTTGAGTGTCGTTGGGGCTGCACTCATCCAGGCAAGTGGGGAGTATTCCATTACACTCCTGACTCGTGCCTTGCAGATGGTGGACAGGCTTTGAGGAGTCAGGAGGTGAGTTACTTGCTGCAGTATTCCTAGCTTCTGGCCTGTTCTTGTATCCACTGTGTTTATGCGGTGAGTACAGTTGAGTTTCTAGTCAATGATAACACCCAGAAGAATGTTGATAGTGGGGGGATTCAGTGATGGTAACACTATTGAATGTCAAGGGATGTTGGTTAGATTGTCTCTTATTGGTGATGGTCATAGCCTGGCATTTGTGTGGTGCAAATGTCACTTGCCACTTGTCAGCCCAAGCCTGGATATTGTCCAGATCTTTTTGCATTTGAACATGGACTGCTTCAGTATCTGGTGCTGAACATTGTACAGTCATTGGCAAACATCCCCACTTCTGACCTTATGATGGAGGGAAGATCATGATGAAGTTGCTGAAGATGGCTGGGCTGAGGACACTACCCTGAGGAGCTCCTGCAGAGATGTCCTGGAGCTGAGATGATTGACCTCCAACAACCACGAACATCTTCCTAGGTGTCAGGTATGACTCCAACCATCGGAGAGTTTACCCCCGATACCTATTGATTCCAGTTTTGCTAGGGCTCCATGATGCCACACTGAGCAGGTGCTGCTTGATAGCACTGTTGATGACACCTTCCATCACTTTACCATATCTGCAAGCGATCTATATCCCGCTGTATCCTTTGACAACCTTCTATATTATTCGTCATTCCACCGATCTCGGTATCATCTGCAAACTTACTAACCCTCCCATCTACATTTTCATCCAAGTCATTGATATACATCACAAACATCAGAGATCCCAATGGAACACCACTAGTCACGGACGTCCATCTTGAAAAACACCCTTCCACCACTATCTTCTGCCTTCTATGAGCAAGCCAATTCCAAATCCACGCAGCCAAGTCACCATGGATCCCATGCATCTTAATCTTCCGGATGAGCCTACCATGAGGGGCCTTGTCAAAAGCCTTATTAAAATCCATGTAGACAACATCCACTGCCGTATCCTCATCGATCACTTTTGTCATCACCTCGAAAAGTTCAGTCAGGCTAGTAAGACATGACCTGCCCTGCACAAAACCATGATGACTGTCCCTAATTAGGCCTTAGTTGTAACTGCTACTCTAACCATTCACAAACCCACAAATCAATTCTGTCTGAATGTATTAAATGAGTCTTAGAAGTGAGTACCTGTAATTTCCTCAATACTGGCCAGATTCCACATCGTTATTTTCTCAGTGTGATCGGGTTGGCTTGGGTATCCTGGAGCTGGACGAATTCCCGCATATTTGATTCTATGCATATCAGCAATATCCAGGCTCTCATCAGGGGAGTATCCCCAAAATTCCTTGCGGACTCTTGAGTGCATCTCTTCTGCAAATGCCTTTGAAGTATCAAAATAAAGTAAAATATATCTCTGGAAAATAACTTACAGCATCAAAGCAACAAATAAGATTATTCATAGGTTAGTTAAACAAAATTATAATTTCTTTGCACTTTGCTGTTTACAGAACTGAACATTTTGACAATTTTGCAAAGCAATAAATTCCATTTCAGCATGTTGACCTTTGAACTGTGTGCATGTAATATGCACTAAAAGCCACACCTCACTTATTATCTCAATTGTTACATATTTATTAAATACTTCCTAAAAACAATGAATTAACATTAGGTCTAAACTGCCTCAGGTTTTCCAAAAGAAGATTCAAAATGCTTTGGTGTAACTAATGTTAATCAAATCGATGTTTAGGATATTTTATAATGTTTAGGACACTATTTTCAACCCATTCTCGGAAGACTGAGTGTATAGACACTGCATGTATGAGCTATACCCACTGCTTAAATTCCCACGTGAAGTTCACCTTTAAACTTGGTGTGGCTGCAGGGACAGGGCTATGAAGAGGTGCAGTTCTGAGGAAGGGACCCGAAACGTTAACTCTCATTTCTCTCCATAGATGCCGCCAGACCTGCTGTGCATTTTTGTTGGAGGAGTGAAGGGGGGAAATCGGGTTGGGGTTATCCCCATACCCAGCCCCTCTCTGTACCCCTCTCTTCCCTCCTATCCTGACGCCCTCTTCTGAATATGCATAGCTCCTTAGTGTACGAGGTCATCAGAAAGCTTCATGATGCAGCATTTTTGGAATTGTGCACAGGTGTTTCCAGATAGGCGAGCATGTGCAGTTTCAAGAATTGCCCGGTATCCACAGATACTGGCTTCAGAATGTGAACATTATTGGCAAATTATCACCTACCCCGATCAAAGGTGATTAGGTAGCAATTTTCCACTTGAAGTCTATGTGGAACAGTACAACTATTGATTTTAGAAAGGCACTTCCAGGATTTTGATTCAATAGCAGGGCAGGATTTTCAATATAATTCCAAATTAGGATGATGTGTAACTTGTAGCTGTTTACATGGGTCTGCAAGATGGTAAAGGTTGTGGGTTAGGAAGGCGCTTTAAGGGAGACTTAGTGAATTGGCGCAGCACTCCTTCTAGATGATACATGCTGCTCCTGCTATGTGCCAGTTGTGGAGGGAATACATATTTAAAGTTTGTGGATGGGTGACGATTAAACTGGTTGCTTTGTCTTGGACAGGACTAACCTTGAGCACTATTGAGCTGTACCCATCCAGGCAAGTGGAGAATACTCCATCATAGAATAGATCACAGAAGATCACAGAATCCCTACAGTGTGGAAACAGGCCCTTCGGCCCAACAAGTCCACATTGACCCTCAGAGCATCCCACCCAGACCCATCCCCCTGTAACCCACCTAATCTACACATCCCTGAACACTACAGGCAATTTAGCACAGCCAATCCACCTAGCCCGCACATCTTTGGACTGTGGGAGGAAACCGGAGCACCCAGAGGAAACCCACGCAGACACGGGGAGAATGTGCAAACTCCACACAGACAGTCGCCCGAGGGTGGAATTGAACCCAGGTCCACTTTGAGGCAGCAATGCTAACCACTGAGCCACCATGCTGCCCAAAGTCATGCATGTGACTTTCTGCTTGATAGATGATGGACAAGCTTTAGAGAGTTAGGAGAGGTGTTCCTCACTGCAGAAGTTCCAGCTTCTGTTATCCTCCACAGGATTTATACAGCTGTTCCAGTATGTTTTTGATAAATAACTCCCAGATGTAAATATTGGAGAATTCAGCAATAGTAATGCCACTGAATGTAAAGGTGAGATAGTTGGATTATTTTACTTGCCATTTCTCAGCCCAAGCCTAAGTTTTATCCAGTATCAGGAAGAAAAGAAATGTTTTAATTTTTTGTAAGTCATCTGGTCCCAATGACAATGCTAATTATTTTGATAAAGTCATGCTGTAATTCACTGAATTTCTTTCTAAAGGGGGACAGTTTTCTTTAAGAACAGTCTTGTGACTTTTGTCATAACGGCTTCTGATGTGTGCAAATATGATTCACTAAATCACAGAAAATATGATTGTGACTTAAAACCTTGTCAAATGATTTTCATGAAAGGACATTTTGTTTAGAAAATAGTTTTCTTGCCAATTTTGTGTTCCACTGCACAATATCAATATTTTCATACAATTTCTTACTAAATGACTGAAATGCTAAATTGAATTTTAATTTGTTTTGAGGCTAAAATTAACTTGCATAAACAGAACATGAGGTGTGGACCGATGATTGGTTCAGTACAAACCACTCATGTTGCATGGTTTTTTTCAGTTGTTTTAGAGAGATGATCTCTCAGGCCATCTGACTGCTCCCTGTCTGGAAAATTCTCTTCGTCCATTTCTAACAATTATGGACTTCATTTCTTGAACAGAACCTGCAAGCTGCAATTCTGAATTGTTTTTTGTTCCAGCACCTGTGCTAGTAATTTATTCCACATATTACAGAATTGTTTTTGTATTTTAAAAAAAAGCTTGTTTTGTTTCCTTTTTTATACATATAAAAGACTCTGTGCTTAATTCTGTACATGGCAGGAAAATCTTTAGATCCATAATTTTCAACCACTGATCTTTATCTCTTTGCATGCAATGGTATATAGTTACCCAGTGCAGAAAAGCAGGTTGTTTAGAGAAGTCTAATCACCTCCTGCTCAACTTTTTATTTTACACCCAGTAATTGGCATTAATGCTCATATACAGCAGCATGCAATGCTAACCATCGAATAAAGGTTTACAAAGGTTAAAAAAAAATCAATTATTTTGATGGCTTAAAAGTATAGAATAAGAACATAAAATGTTTCTCATTCAGAAATTCTCTTCTTGCACTGCACAAATTCAGCTCTTACTTATCCATCCTTTGTAGAATTTATTTTATCCTTACAACCTGGACAATTCCATTTCAATTCATTCATGGGATGTCGGTATTGCTGGCTAGGCCAGCATTTATCAGCCATCTCTAATTGCCTGGGGGCAGTTAAGAGTCAACCACATTGCTGTGGGTCTGGAGTCACATGTAGGCTCATTAGACTTTTAATTACAGGATCTCGTGTAATTCAAATTCAAGCACTTGCTGTGGCAGGATTTGAACCCAGGTCCCCAGAACATTACCTGGGTGTCTGGATTAACAGTCCAGCGATAATACCACTAGGCCATTGCCTCCCCTATAATTAGCTAAAGCTAAACTCAAGATGGAATTGTATTTAAGTTTCAAAGGGGGTGGCTAACTCATTGTTGACGTGAGAACAAAAATTATAAAATACAAAATTATCCAATATGAAAATGTTAGTTTCCAATAAATTTGTAAATTGGATTGTAAACTCTAGTTAAGTAACCAAATATCAGTCTTACCTCAACTAGTCTGTCTGCCAAGGCTTTAACCATTATGCTGCTGTAGTCATCATTCTTCTCCAGGTATTGCTTGCTCAGGAGTTCGGCACCAAAGCATGCCACTGCAAACAAGCCAATATAATCTGGCACGCCAGAATCCCTGGGTGCTATGAAGTCCGAGATGCAGCAGTACTGTTCTGTGCTAATGCTGCCCTTGTCCACCTGGAAAATGTAAAAGTTGAATCAACTGTATTTACTGGCAATCTACAACAATCATTATGATTGCCCACAGGGATACTGCCTTATAAGAGAAGTCAAATCCATAACTGTGACTCTAGATACAATAACATATACCGTATACAGAATGCACCAACAACTATGTCACTACATCCACTGTGATGGCAAAATTCCCACGAGGGACAATGTGACACTGGCAACATTTAATCTATTCCCTATAACATTTCATTAATGCAAAAACATCTAAAATGCTTATTGTCTTGTGTTTGCAACTATTCAGATGTTCGCTGAATTGTGATTATTCTACTACAAAATCAAAGAGATGCCAGTTGTAAACACAAGGGTTTCATTTTTCCGTATTTTTCATTGTGGACTGAAATGGGAAAAGAAGATTTGTTTTAAAAACCAAGGATTATTGAAGATTTCTCCACTTTTTAAAAGAAAGTAAATCGGACACTCATTGTAAATGCTGTTTACACTGCTGTATACAAAGAATAAAACAGCACAGGAACAGGCCCTTCAACCCTTCAAGCCTGCAGTGACACATTTTACCCTTTCATATTAAAACTTTCTTCACTTAACGGGATCACATGCACTTTATCTGATTTATCTGATCTGTATGCATAAAGTATCACATTGGACAGTGCATTTACCAACAGAGAAACTGAAGGAACAATTTTTTTAAATTGACAAAAAGAAGTCTTACCTGTTGCCTTAAACCGTGAAACTTAGCTATTGGTTCACCAGTGCGGGGGTAAGTATCCTCTGCAAACAAATGTATATCATCCCCAACACTTTGAGCTGGCCAGAATCCTATAATTCCCTTGGCAGTCAATCTCTTTGCTTCAATTAGGGCATTCAGCATATCCTGTGCATCTTGAAACACTTTCTTGGCTTCTTCGCCTACAAGATGGTTAACAAGTTAAACCTATTATGAGGACAGGATGTTGAGACTGGATGGTATTGATGCACCAATTTCTCCTGCATCAGTGCATGGCAACTTCTGGCCTGGCTTTACAACTGCTAATGTAGCCAGTGCATGCAGTTTAAAAAAAAGCATATTGCTCGGGCTCTTGTGTGGTGACAGTGTTCCTTCCTTTAAGTCAGAAAGTTCAGGTTCAAGTCCTACCTGCTCCAGATGTGTATCATTACATGTTTGAATAAATTGATTGATTAAAATGATGAAACATATATTGCCAAGTATATATTGATAGCTAAAGAAAATAACAAGATGGAAGAGTAGTTTTATTGGCACTTACCAACAGTCTTGTCTCTAAAGATTTTGGGATACCCACGATTCGGGTACTTTCCTTTCAGCTGCCAAACATCAAAGAAAGGTTTCCAATCAATGTAGCTCATCAATCTCCGTAAATCATAATCTGCAAAGGATTGGGTGCCAATAAAAGTTGGTTTCACTGTAAAAGAAGGAGACAGTTCTGAGTTTTAAAATTGCAATAAACAGAGACCACTGGGTTAATATTTATTAATTATTTTTCTCTATGTATTAATTGCTCTTCATGTGGACAATCATTTACATTATGGTAGCTGCTGTAATCAAACAAGTTTATCTAGTTCATTTATTAAGTCACCTGGAATCTGTTAAGTCTGTGAAAAACACATTCAGATTGAACAGCAGCCTTGTTCTATAGACAAAGTTGACGAAACAGCATTGTAGTTACCCGTTAATAGACATCTCACCACGTCCTGACACCTGGAACTCAGTTTGAAAATGTTACATCATTCCTGCCGTCGAGAAAGGCCTCGCCCGGCTTCTCTCCACACTTCATGTCTATAAAGACCCTAAAAAATTCTGTATTATGTCTGAAAGTGTCCCAGGACAACACTCTCAAATTTCTTGCACCAATTTCTCCTGCATCTTGAGAAGGTATCTTCGAGTTTCTACATGGTGTCTTTCACAGAGTGTACTGATGATAATAAAACTTCTCTGTTAGAGAACTAAGAAACAACACTGCACTAAAAATTCCAATGTTTATTCTAAATACTAAAACATTTCAAAAGTCTGGTACTTTGGCTGTTCATCTCCCCAAAAGCCCTGAAGTTTTTCTCTCAGAAACACTGATTCTCAATATTAACCTTATCATCCAGATTATTTTGACAGGACTAAGGCCTTGGGCAGTGTTGTAGAACAGAGTGAACTAGGGGTTCAGGTACATGGTTCTTTGAAGTTTGCTTCACGTATAGATAAGGTGTTTAAGGAGATATTAAGCATGCTTGCCTTCATTGCTCAGACCTTTGTACATTGGAGTTGGGACATTATGTAGAGGACATTGGTGAGGCCACTTCTGGAGTACTGTGTCCAGTTCTGGTCACCCTGTTATAGGAAGATTATTATTAAGCTGGAAAGGTTTCAGAAGAGATTTATCAGGGTGTTATTGGAAATGGAGGGTTTGAGTTACAAAGAGAGGCTGGATAGCCTGAGACCTTTTTTCACTGGAACGTAGGAGGTTGAGAGGTGACTTTATAGTGGTTCATAAAATAATGAGGTATAGATAAGGTAAATGGCAGGTGTCTTTTTGCTAGAGTGGGGGATTTCGAGACTAGGGAGCATATTTTTCAGGTGAGGGGAGAAAGATTTAAGAAAAGACAAGGAGCATTTTTTTTTAAAAACACAGAATGGAATGAACTTCCAGAAGAAGTGGTGGATGTGGTACAGTTACAACTGACTGTTAGATAAATACATGAATTAGAAATGTTTAGAGGGATATGGGTCAAGCGCAAGCAAGTGGGACGAGTTTGGTTTGGGATTATGGTCAGCATGGACTGGTTGGACTGAAAGGTCTGTTTCCATGCTGTATGACTCTATGACTTTGAGTAGTAACATTAAGCATACATTACTTCTCACTGGTACAAGCAGGCAATGTAAGCGATTGGGATTTTACCCATAAAAACAAAGCTCAGAATAAGAAAAAGGACACTAGGATCATCAGTTCTATGCCTTTCATGTAAAAGATCTCGATCACTGGTAAGCCTCCACATTCAACTTCCTAAACTCCTATGTGTACCATATGAATTTATTACAATCTCCATGGACTGAATTTTACCAGAAATTGACCAGAAAGTGTCAATTTTGCAGCTGTATGGAGGGTTTTTTGCTTTGTGCCATCCTGAGATTTCTTACGCTATTTTTTTGAAACTTGTCTAAATTACCGACACATCACGCCTCGATGGCATCCTAATCATTGTAGCTTCCCTCTCAGCACAGGTAGAAGTACTTGCCACTACTGCAATCTCCTGCGACTCCCAGTGCCATTTTAAAGCCTAGATGTCCCCAGGAGATATAGGTGGTCTGGTTGATGCACTATTACAAATAAAATAACATCTTCTCATTGAACAATGTGGGATCATCACATGCCCGAAAGTCTTCCAATGGTTGAAAACTATCACTTTTATTCAGCAACAGTGAAGAATTAAACAAACAAAAAATGCATTTGCTTCTGGGAACAGATGGGGAACATTTGCCTTTTGAGCAGCAACAGATTTACCGTCAATGAGCGATCACTGCACTCAACTCATATCTATCAGAACAGGATGTTGATTAAGTCCTGTCTGACCTGTTGCATCGACACCATACTGAAGGTGATGTTCCTCTTAGAGGCATAGAGCTGTACAGCTTGGAAACAGACCCTTTGGTTCAACTTGTCCATGCTGACCAGATATCCTAAAATAATCTAGTCTGATTTTCCAGCATTTGGCACATATTCCTCTAAACCCTTCCTATTCATATACCCATCTAGATGCCTTAAATAGTGGCATCACATTAGCCAATCTCCAGTCTTCCGGCACCTCACCTGTGGTTATTGATGATACAAATATCTCAGCAAGAGGACCAGCAATCATTTCCCTAGCTTCCCACAATGTTCCAGGGTACACCTGATCAGGTCCCAGGGATTTATCCACCTGTAAGACGTCCAATACCTCCTCCTCTGTAATATGGACATTTTTCAAGATGTTGCTATTTATTTCCCCAAGTTCTATATCTTCCATATCCTTCTCCACAGTAAACACTGATACAAAACACTCATTTAGTATCTCCCCAGTCACCTGTGGTTCCAAACATAGGCAGTCTTGCTGATCTTTAAGGGGGCCTATTCTCTCCCTAGTTACTCTTTTGTCCTTAATGTATTTGTAGGATCTCGTTGGATTCTCCTTAACCCTACTTGCCAAAGCTATCTCATGTCCTATTTATTTCCCTCTTAAGTATACTTCTACTGCCTTTATAGTCTTCTAGCTACACACTCGATCCCTGCTGTCTATAACTGACGTATGTTTCCTTCCTTTTCCTGACCAAAAACCCAATTTCTCTAGTCATCCAGCATTCTTTACACATCTACCAGCCTTGCCCTTCACACTAACAGGAACCCTTGTCCTTCACACTAACAGGAACATACTGTTTCTTGACTCTCATTATCTCATTCTTGCAGGCTTCCCATTTCCAGCCATCCCTTTACCTGCGAATATCTGCCCACAATCAATTTTAGAAAGCTCTTGACTAATACCATCAAAATTAGCCGTTCTCCAATTTAGAACTGTAACTTTTACATCCGGTCTCCTTTTCCATCACTATTTTGAAACTAATTGAATTATGATCACTGGTCCCAAAGTGCTACCCCACTTACATCTCAGGAACCTGCCCTGCCTTGTTTGCCAAGAGTAGGTCAAGTTTTGCTCCTTCTCTAGTAGTACATCCACATTCTGAATCAGAAAATTGCTCAATGCCCTCATCTTTCACCTTGGAAGACCACTGCCACTCTCCAAACTCTTCAGAATCTATTGCATCCCTTTGCAGAGCACGTCATGCAAAGATTATGTGGCATTGTTGGTCTGAACTGTCCTGCAAAACTGTCCAAGACTGTCTAAGTATCGGAACCTCATCTTCAGCAAGCCTGTTGTCTGCTCTGCTTTGGATCTGGTCAAAAAATGGGCTGCAATTCAGTCTGGGGTTTGCATAATGTAGTTATCAGCCACATTTTCAAACGGTAGCCCATGTCCCCCAGGAGTCATCCTTGTAAGGCATCTGGCCCTTGATGGTTTTGTACAATCCAACAGATTGGACTCCAACAAGGAGGGCTATGGAACACATCTACATGAATCCTTGACATATGGACCGCATTCCAACGAATGCAGTATAAGCCCTGTTATGAAAATACAGCAGATAATAAATGCTGTTTGATTACTGATACTTTATCCCTAAATCTCAACACCACCCAAGAAATCCTACGGTGGGTGAGTCCAAAACTAGACGGCATATGCTTAAGGTGAGAGAGAAAAGATTTAAAAAGGACCTGAAGGGTAACTTTTTCATGCAGAGGGTGTGTGGAATGAGCTGCCAGAGGAAATAGTGGAGGCTGGTACAATTGCAACATTTCAAAGACATCTGGATGGGTACATGAATAGGAAGGGTTTAAGAGGTATATGAGCCAAATAGGAGTAGGTTAGATTGGGATGTCTGGTTGGCATGGACAAATTGGACCAAAGGTCTGTTTCCATGCTGTATGAGTCTATGATTCAATGACTCCAAATGCAACATTGCATATAGGGGCGTGTTGATGAATACTTACACTTCAAGGTGAAAATCAGCTCCAATGCCCCTGTGCAGGCTATGAGATCTTTGCTTTTGTGAACAGTGGGCCACGGTGTCACTTTTGAGGTTGCCTGTGCTTACTTTTGCTTCACAGTGATGAGTAACTTCAATCTGCAATGGCATGGTCAGGATTGCATATGAGCAGAATCTGCATCTCACATAGTTGGACAATGCGTGCATTTCAAATGCAGGGTTCAATGAAAACAGACGTCTTCAACCTATACTGTGTAAGTGCCTGATTAATGCAATTGAACTTTGAAAATCCTGAGATTGTTGACAAGTACAGCCCACATGCTCAGACAGAAAATTAACATTTACTCTGTCCACTTTGGGTGTCATCAAAACAAAGTTCCAGTTTATGATTTGCAAGAGTAAGGAAGGCAATGCAGGTTGCGATCAGCACAATGAGTGACCTGCTCAGCCCAGGAATCAACGGGCACCCTGAATCTCCATTTCCCTTTCTTCCTCATACTTCCTGTTAAGCCTATCAATACAGAGCTTCCACATTCTTCCAGGCACCTCTGAATTACAACTTCATCTTTCAACATTACTCTCTGACTCAAGCCCTACAAACTAGCAATGTTAACTATAATTATCAACCTGCACTGTTTGCATCAGTGAAGTAAGGGTGGTTAGGACCCTCATTAATTACCCCCGCCTTGCATGCCATCCAAGGCATCGGGGTCACCATCCACCTTTATATATTGAGACTCCCTGCTGTATCCTAGCATGCTGCCTCCAATCCCCATTACTGACTTCCCCAACTTTCCAACCACAGCAGTGGTCTGCTGATGAATTCCCTAACTTTCAATGAGCTAACCTCCAGAGATAACTGTGGTCAGACTTGGACAGACATCCCTGACTGATGAATGAATAGACCCAAGACTGCTGTCTATATAGTTCCTCCATCTTAGAATCCCTACAGCATGGAAACAGGCCCTTCAGCCCATTAAGTCCACACCGACCCTCAGAGCATCCCACCCAGATCCATCCCCCATTTAACCCACCTAATCTACACATCCTTGAACACTAGGGGCAATTTTGCATGGCCAATCCACCTAGCCTGCACATCTTTGGACTGTGGGAGGAAACCAGAGCACCCAGAGGAAACCCACGCAGACACAGGGAGAATGTGCAAACTCCACACAGACAGTCGCCCGAGGGTGGAATCGAACCCGAGCTCCTGGTGCTGTGAGGCAGCAATGCTAACCATTGAGCCACTGTGCCGCCCCTAAAGGCTGACATACGATTCCCCTGACTGGTTTAAGATAACTAGCTGCAGAACTGGATGAATACAGCAGGCCAAGCAGCATCAGAGGAGCAGGAAGGCTGACGAGAAGGGTCTAGACCCAAAACGTCAGCAACCCTGCTCCTCTGATGCTGCTTGGCCTGCTGTGTTCATCCAGCTCTACACCTTGTTATCTCAGATTCTCCAGCATCTGCAGTTCCTACTATCCCCTGACTGGTTTTACTGGCCCTGCAGGAATGACCGTGGCCTATACCCTTAACTGTAGTGATACACAGCCCCTGACCCTGACAGTCTGAAATGACTGCTGATTGTGTCTAAGCCCTGGATGAATTTCAGATATTGCATGCAAACTACTGAACTGGAAACTCCTGACAGAATGTTGTCTCCCTGGACCTAAAAACGACACCCTTTAGACTTTGAGACACTGCATGTGCTTCAACCAATAGCTGTGTGTTTGCCACATACATTGCTGGCACATGGTGCAGATGTGACAGCAACATGTCTAATACTTTGACTGACCGCTGATGACCATGACATGCAGACTAGTTTTGTGTCAGCACTAAAAGACGAGGCCAGACAAGGCAGAGATGCTGTGCACATCCAGGTAGGTGTAAAGTGAGAAAGCATTAAGACAGCAAGTGAAGCCCTGAGATGCACCCTGGTTCAACCACAAATTGTCCTGCATGCTAAATTTTATGGCAGCAGCATTACAATGATAGGTGCCTGCAGGCTTCAAAGTGCATTTAAATATAGAACTGTATTGTAGGTAGGCTAGAGATGTGCCATGAAAGTATGGTGACGATGGTACAAGTCTGATGTCTATGGGCAGGGTGCAGGCACTTACTGTCTATGGGGCATTCCATGAAACACTGGGGATTTGATGTCCAAGATGGAGGGTGGGAGGAGCAAGTAGCCAGGTGGAATTTTTTTTTTCTTCTTTATTCATTAACGGGATGAGGACTTGGCTGGCTACGCAGCATTTATTGTCCATCCCTAATTGCAGAGAGGGCAGTTCAGAATCAACCACATTGCTGTGGGTCCAGAGTCACATGTAGGCCAGACCAGATAAGGATGGCAGTATACTTCCCTAAAGGGCATTAGTGAACCAGATGGGTTTTTCCTGACAATCAACAGTGAATTCATGGTCATCATTAGATTTTTAATTCCAGATATTTTATTGAATTCAAATTCCACCATCTGCCATGGCAGGATTTGAACCCGGGTCCCCAGAATGTTATCCAGGTCTCTGGATTAACAGTCCAGAGACAATACCACTAGGCCATTGCCTCCCCAGGTACCTGCGCTGACTTTCACATTGGGAACGTTGTCATCTAGTTTTTAAATTCAGCAAGTGGGAAAATGAGAAACTGCATATTAATGAAGTGAGGTTAGGTAATAGTGGTATGCTAATGCATTTAAATGGACCCAGCAGGCCTCTCGCTGTTCATTAGAAAGATTCTTATCTGGCCATTCAACATGTGGTTGGAGGATCAGACTTTCTCTTTTCAATGTGGAGAATCTCATTTCTGCCAGTCTAGTCCTATTTTTCCCAAATGGCTCACCAATGCTCATGTCAAGAAAGGGGTTGGAGAGTTCCACCCTATGTTCCTTTGGCCATATTGAGACAGACAGATGTGGCATAACATGACAGCAGATTTCCCAGGAGATAGCAAGGAAGCAGCAGCAGTAACATTCTCCAGAGGGGCTGTGCTGATTACAGGCACTTCCTGCAGTGAATTAAAACGGAACAACTCTATATGATAAAAATATAAAATGAGGACCAAGGTGGGTCTAGAAGATATCTCTGATTCCTCCTGGTACAATTCTGGCAAAAAAAAATTGCCTTGATGCTTTCCTATGAATTCCAAATGATGCAAGGTGATGAAAACAAATGAATCAAATTCCACATTAAAAATACCTTTCAAAATAGTTTCTGCAATAGTTATTCAAATCCATCTGTGACAAGAAGAATGTTACTAAATAGATACACTATGTTATTACTCACCTGGCTTAGGATGAGAAAGCCAGTCTATGTGGAACCCTCTATTTCTGGCTTGCTCTAATGTTAAATAATTTCTTTCCTGCAAACAATAAAATTCTGATCAATGAACAGACAAATTACCTGTGACACTCACCAAATATATCAAATTTCCTCATCAGCATAACTGCCAAAATAGAATTGCCAAAACTCATTGGAAACTTAACATTTTGAAATTAGAGCAAGAATAAGGCAATTGATCCATTAGTTCACTCTTTCCTGAAACTGATTTCCTTAACATGGATTCACATGCAGCCAATTTCACAATACAAGGTTTAGCATAAATATTTATTTATTTTCCTGAACTAAATTCCGAAGCAATTATCTATCCTTACATCTCTTAACACCTCAACCCAGATCAATTCTCATTCACAGAAAACATTACTTTCTCCCATTCCCTCAGAAAAAAATGCAATCATTACATCTCAGTATCTAATGTATAAGCTAGTGTATAAACTGACCATTAAAGTATCATAATAATCCTGTCGAATCTCTTCATATTCTTCAGTTACTTCCTCAAAGTAGTCATCCTTACGGTAATCATCTAAAAGTTGAGAGCACTACAATTTATAAAACAAGGGAATAATTAGACTTAATGAGCTAAAAAAGCATTCAAAGCAGCATAAAAAAACTCCATGTGATACATGCTCATAGACAAGATTATAGCTGAACAAGGCATTGTAAAATGTGTGACAACAAGGTGCAGGGCTGGATGAACACAGCAGGCCCATTGTAAAATGTGTCTTTTCCCAGCAATATGCAAGTTCTGTACTACCAAATGATTATTACTAATATACTTTATAAGTTTGAAACATTTTCATTCAATGTGAAAAATTCTGATGTCTGTCTCACATTTAGGAAGATTCATTGAAGCTGTTAAATATTTAGGGGTCCTATTGTTCCAAGCATTGATGTAGGGAATTGAAAATGACATTGTTTGTGCAATGGTGAGTTTTTAGAAATGAGAATTGGAAACATCAGTTCCTGGGAATAGTAAGGTTAGAAATTGGAGATGAAAGGACTGTGTTTGTGTGAAACAAGTTCAAGAAAGTTATCATTGCAGGAAACTTATCTAGCTCTTCTAAAAGGCCAAACCCAGCTTTCTCAAGCCAACTAGAAAAATCACAGGGATTATTAAAATATTCGTATGCTCAAGAAGCCTAATAACTGAAACATCTGTGTGGCACTTTAGTGCCAATTCAAAACGGCAATGGTTGGAGCGTGCGATACTCGAGTTTCAGTTCCACTGACCCTATTTTGAGTTGCCACATAATTAAACTAATCTGGGTTGGTTTACATCAATTTGACTACTATTTTAATAGTATATTAAGCCATCAGTCACACATAATAGAAATGACCTTGGTTTAAATACTGTTGCTTATAAAGTTCTTTGATTTTCAACTGCACAGGTGATTAGATGAAGAATATCTGCTAAGTCCTTTAACTATTAAATGGGAAGGTACATAAAATAAGCCAGAACAAAGAACTTCAAAATAATCTTAAATTATAAAGTAGTTGCGAGAGCAATCTCACAAGAACACTTACCACAACAACACTCTTAGAAGCATCTAGGACATGAATAGCAGGTGCATTATACTTTGGTGCAATTTTGACAGCTGTGTGTGTTCTGGAATGAGAAAAGTAACTCTGATCATTTGCATTTACTTGATTCTGAGTCAATTTAAAAATATATTAGTCAAGATTCACACTGGTTTAACTGTTCAAGGCAGTGAGTAGCTCAGCCATAAAAACTAGAAAGGTGCTTACTCTGCACAAAGTTTTCAGATATTAGCCACTGTGGTAGCAAACAAAACCATGCTGGGCAAAACAATCTTAGTTAGATTCTATACGTCAGGATCAAGCAAACATGATCTCACTAACAGTACGTGAAAGGAAATAATGAATATAGTGGACATAAAGCCAAAGGCTTTCGGGGAGTAACTGTATCTTTTTCATTCTGGATTGGCTGTCAACATTTACTGCTGGTCCCTAATTGCCCTTGAGAAGGTAGTGGTGAGCTGTCTTCTTGAAATGCTGCAGCCCACAATGCCAACTGAGAAGGAATTCCAGGATTTTGACCCAGTGACCCTGAAGGAACGTGATATATTTCCAAGTCAGGATGTTGAGCAGCTTGGAGGGGAACTTTCAGGTGATGGTGCTCTTATGTATCAATTGCCTTGTACTTCTAGATGGAAGTGGTCATGGGACTGGAAGGTGCTGACAAAGGGGCCTTTATGAATTTCTGCTGTGCAACTTGTAGACGGTACGTGCTGTTGCTACTGAATGGCAGCTACAGAGTGGATATTTGTGTATGAGGTATCAATCAAATGGGCTCCTTTGTCCTGAATAGTGCCAAGTTGTGAGTATTCCATCATACTACTGACTTGTGTCTTGTAAATGTGGACAGGCTTTGGGGAGTCAGAGGGTGAGTTACTCCTTGCAGGATTCTAGCATCTGGCCACTGTATTTAGATGGCTCGTCCAGTTCAGCTTCTGGTCAATGGTAACCCCACGGTGTTTATAGTGGGGGATTCAATTATATTAACACCACTGAATATCAAGGGACAATATAGTTATATTATCTCTTGTGGAGATGGTATTTGACTGGAACTTGTGTGGTGCAAATGCTGCTTTGCACTTTTCAGTCCAAGTCTGAATATTGTCCAGGTCTTGCTGCATTTGGACATAGACTGGTATAGTACCTGAGGAGTCACAAATGGTGCTGAACATTGTGTAATTTCATCAGCCAACATCTGATCTTATGATGGAGGGAAAGTCATTGAAGCAGCAGCTGAGGATAGTTGGGTATTAATAGGACAGGTTATAGATGGTAAGAGACATGATTAGTGAATTCAGTGAACAAGAAACAGGTGCCATTGTGCAACAGTTTTACAAAAGCATATCAAATGAATGTCACTTTATACAGTATGCACAATATCCTAGCAGATTATATCATTTAACTAGGCATAGATATGTAATGCTTTAACTTCAACCTTTCTTTTCAGTATTTAATTAACCTTGAAACGATAGGACATGCTTTAACCTTGGGCTCTTCACCCTAGTCTTGCTGAGCTAGTGTCAGCGGTAAACATTATGTGTTTACTGATGGATCTTTTGCACAAGTTATAATCAGCACTAGTCTCATGGGTACTGTATCTAAGGGATGGTCATTTAATGAATTTGATAGAGAATTAACCAAACATCTCTTTGTATCCTGTTCTTCAACTTACATTAAAAATGCAGGGTAAATTATTATTCCATACTATATTATCATACCTTTTATACTGATGTCAAAATACTATAAAAACCTAACAGTAGTGATGGAAGCAACACAAGTGAATAGAGGTGTTCATGAACAACAGGCCATGGAAAATTAGTAACTGATACCAATTGCAATGCAGGTACTATTTCTAGAAGCACCAGGAAGCACCACAGTTTAATAACATGCCCTGCTAAAATTACTCTTCTTGGCTTGTAGATGGTAAGTAGTCAGTTGGTGGAAGTGCTGAGGGAATTTAGCACCAAATAGCTATGTTCTAGCTAGGATGTAACTTAATGTTTCTGTGAAGATTTGGTGGGGGTGGAGTGCGTGGGGTGAATATCGCCTGAACAATGAACGAGAAAAAAATGGGATGAATAGCTATTGAACAAACATCAATGGTCCAGCCACTGTTACTTAATTAAGAGCTGCATTATGTAGGACAAGGGAGATGGAGTACAAAAGTACACAAGTCTTGTTACAACTATACAGGTCATTAAGCAAAGTCACATTTGGAGTACGAGGTACAGTTTCTGTTCCTGTGCATAGACAGGGACGTATCGCAATACAAGAGGCTCAGAGAAGTCAGATTCCTAGTGTGAACTAGGGGGTATATAGCAGTCTCCCATTTAAGACTGAGATGAGGAGGAATATCTTCTCTCATAGGATCATTCACATTTGGATAATATTCTATTCCAACTAGTTACTTACTTTGAGGTTGTTGCTCCACCAATCAGTAAAGGTATTTTCATACCCAACCGTTCCATTTCCTTGGCAACATATATCATCTCATCCAAAGATGGTGTTATGAGACCTGATAGTCCAACAATATCTGTCATAAAATTTAAAAGAGAACATGCAGTCAAACCCATTCACAACACTGATGTTTCAACTAAATCAACAGTTGGTCAGATGTGATTTCTACTGCGTCTAAAAAGCCTGTGGATTTGAACTTAAAATCTTAGATACAGAATTGCGCAAATCCATCAGGTAGAGACCAGAAATATAAAGCTAATTAGAGACAAGCATTTCTGAAGTTACTTTTATGTATTTCCTGGCAGCTGATTAAGAAGGTTCTGGCAGAGGTGAGGTTTGGGGGTAGATTAACCACTCACCATTGTGATCTGGATGCACAGAGAGCGAGACAGTGAAGACAAAGTAACTTGCTTTCAAATGCACTAAATTCAAATCTTTTCTCTCAGCATTGTTTAGTGACCAGTTTATCAATCTTTAGGGAACCAGAGGTGCTGAGGGATTGAGACTAAACCTAAATTTATATGTAATTTCCTTGGAAAACAAAATCAGCTTCAAAGCATACAGCTTCTTACCCACTGCAATGATGCACACAGAATGCAAGAAGGAAAAACACAGCATGAAAAATAAAAACCTATATGCATGTAAAAGAGTTTAGCTGCTAAGCTTATTTAATAGAGTCAAAGAATTTGTGGTCATTTGTACCTGCTTTATTCTCGATAGCTGCTCGCAGTATCTTATCACATGGAGTCATCACTCCCAGATCAACCACTCTGTAACGATAATTACAACAGTTGTAGAATCAAAGTTCGGATTTGAAAAATAATGAAAGTATGCATCCTCAGTCTGGTTATCCCAACAAGACACGCTATTATGAACTTTATAATGCTCAATTTAAAGGTCACATCACTTTTGTTGTGTGTGTGAGAAACGATTTACATGATGTTCACTGAATTTGATACAGATACCAGATATCTGGTTCAGAGTTTAAGGTAGAAATTTAGATTTATTTAATGTTGTCACTTGTGCCTAGATACAGGATGTTGCCACGTTCTGGCAGGAATAAATAAACCTAAAAGATTTGTAACTGTAATTTCAGTTAAGATTTTAATGTGCTGCATTAGATTGCATTATAATAAAAGCCAATAACCCATCTTTCCTAAAACCAACAGCATTACAACAACAGATTTTAAAAGTCGGTATTCTACACAGTTATTACCATTTGCTTGACTGTTTTGTTTATTGGAAATACTCTTTACAGATCATTTAGAATTTTTCGAAACTGATTCAATCCTTATTCCTTTCTAATTATTTGTACAACAACTTTTTTCATGCTTCTACGAAATTATAAACACTGAAAACAGCTTTAAGTTGAATTACTGGGTCTGAGGGAATAGGACTGGATGTTGAGCAGCCTTTGTAACTTCCACTGCAAAATATCTAACAGAGCAATAGTTAATCCATTAACACAGTTACCTCAATTTATAATGTACAAAGGTGCATTTCATTAGACAAATAACTTCTTCCCTCCGACCAAACTCTTTTAAGTTTCAAACTTATGCAAATTGTAAATTGTTACAACTGAGATGGGAGACGTGTATTCACGGTCTAGTGCCATGACTCCTTGGTTTACAACATAAATTTACGCTTTAGAATCTTCTGGGCTTAATATTGAGCTCAACACCTTCAAATTATGAACCACTCTCAGTCCTTCCTTTTTTTTTAAAAAAGCTTTAGTTGTTACATTCTCTGTCAGCATGTCTGTCCTCTCTCCCCTCCCCCCACGCCAGTGAGACTGTTTTTCCAGTCTGGCAGTTTGGCACACAACTATTCTGCCATTCTCACATTCTGATCACTTAATATGAACTGTCAACATTCTTTCTCCCCCAAGACTCCATGCTCTCCTCTCCACACATCACATCAGTTTTGAAGAGGAGTCATCTAGACTTCAAACGTTAGCATGCTTTCTCTACATTGATGCTGCCTGACCCACTGTGATCTCCAGCATTTTTTGTTTTCAACATATATTTAATTGTTTTACCGAGTTCCCAATATGCCAATGATATTCTTTTTCTATATTAGACTTAGCATGAAGATCCTCCAAGCAGGTTTCTGAAATACATACAATGTTATTGATTTATTATAAAACAAAGCTCGATCAACAGAAGTTGTTCCACACACACTCTCACAAGCTAAAGGGGAAAAAATGCATTTCTTTCCACAGTGATTCATTTTGGGAAAGAAAACACTTTTGGGTAATAATGGTTAGTTCTTGAAGAAAATAAAAAGTGTGGAATGTTCACATGGCTGTTGCTCTGAATTTTTGACGTATATAAACAGTCGCATGCAGTTGCATCTTGGGTCTTGCCACATGCAGCTGGCTTAAAAAACTCATAAGAATCATGAAGTCCTCCAGACACACTTCAGGCAGACAATCAGGTTTCAGAAGGGGCACACAAAAGGTATTGCAGAAAGGTAAAGTAATTGTTGCAGATTTGTGGTGATTACAGTTAGATCTTTCTTTCAGAGGGTATTCTTGACACATCCATTCTAAATCTAACAAGAAATTTTAGCAGCTATTTGTCAAAATAACAATAGCAGATTATTTAAAACCTACATAAAACAATGATTTTTTAAAATTCACTCACTGTGTACAGACCTTGTTGGCTAGGCCAGGATTTATTACTCATCCTTAGTTGCTCTTAAGGTAGTTGTGAGTAGACTTCATATACTTTTGTAATCCACTCGGTGTTGGTACACTCACAATGCCATTAGGGAGGGAGTTCCAGGAATCTGACTCAGTGACGTTGAAGGAATGGCAATATGTTTCCAAGTCTGAATGTCAAGTGGTTTGGTGGGGAGCTTGCAGGTGGTGGTGTATCTGTTGCCCTTATTCTAAACTGTAGTGGTCGTGGATTTGGAAGGTGCTGTCCAAGAAGCCTTGGTGAATTTCTGCAGTGCACTTTGAAGATGGTGTATACTGCTGCTGAGCATCGGTGGTGGAAGGTGTGAATGTTTGTGGATGTGGTGCCAATAAAGTGGGTTGCTTTGTCCTGGATTGTGTCAAGCTTCTTGAATGTTGTTTGAGTTGCATTCATCCAGGCATATGGAAGTATTCCATCACACTCCTGATTTGTGCCTTTGGGGAGTCAAGAGGTGACTTACCTGGGCAAGATTCCTAGCCTCTGACTTGTTCTTGTAGCCACAGTACTTATATAATTAGTCCAGTTCAATTTCTGGTCAATGGTAACCCTATGTATGTTGATATGGGAAATTCAGTGACAGCGATATCATTGAATATCAAAATGGTCAGATTCTTGTTTAAAATGGTCATTGCCTGGCACTTGTGTGGCATTAATGTTATTTGGCACTGGTCAGCCCAATTCTAGAGATTGTTCAGATCATATTGTTCTTGGGCATTGAATGTTTTATTAACTGATGAGTCTTATGATGGAGAGAACGTCATGGATGAAGCAACTAAGGATGGTTGGGCCAAGGACACTTGGACCAAGGGTACTAACCTTAATTTGAAAAGAATTACAACGCTGGAAGAATAAAAAAAAAGTACTAACAAGTGGAAGACGACAAGATATGTCGTAGTAAGTTTACCTGAAGTTGTTGCAAGTCAATACCACACCAACAATGTTCTTGCCAATGTCATGAACATCTCCCTTCACAGTAGCTAAAACAACAGTGCCTTGATATGGGCTCTGAAAAAATAATACAATCTATTGATTGTTTGCATTTAGAAAACTGTACTGTTAAAATTGTTTGACTTGGTTTACAAAACTGTAATTAGACAGAAATTACAGCATAGAACAGTTAATTTAGACCAACTAGGCTGTCACAGCATCAATACTCCAGCTGTTGGTTGGTTCACTGAGCTGTCTGGTTTTCATGCAAATGTTTCGTACCCTTTCTAGGTGACATCTTCAGTGCTGTACAGCCTCCGTTATTGTACCATTGTTCTGTTCCGTTATCCGGTCTGTTACGATGGGTGGTTCTGTTTCCGGTTTTGCTCCGTAGTGGTATGTAGATACGGTCTATTTCAACATGTTTGTTTATGGTACCAGTGGTTGAAAACCAGGCTTCCAAGAAGTCTCGTGCTTGTCTTTGTTTTGCTTGTCCTAGCACTGTTACGTTGTCCCAGTTAAACTGATGCCCTTCTTTGTTGGAGTGAATAGAAACGAGGGAGAGTTGGTCGTGCCATTTTGCTGCGAGTTGGTGTTCATGTATCCTGGTGGTGAGTTTCCTGCCCATCTGTCTTATGTATTGCTTCTCGCAGTTGCTGCATGGTATTTTGTATATCGCATTTGTCCTGCTCATTGCGGGTATGGGGT